TTTCCCAAGTTTTTTTTTTTTTTTTTTTTTTTTTTTGGTTTTGCTAACTTCTTGTAGGTTTGGAGGGATCTGTGCTATCACTCTTCGGAGGCTCCAGTAAGATACGGCGAAAACCAGTATTTAATCGCTGGTGGAGGGCACCATTGGGACAGTTACGGCATCCTTGATATAGAGGCTGAGCCGGACTATATAAGAGAAGCTCACAAATGGGAGATCCGGATGGTGAAGAAGTGGCTGAACGAGTTCGAGGTCAAGGGTTACAGAAGGGAGAAGCGGGACGAGCTGTAGTAAGCCCTAAGTCGAAACTAGCAGTTAGAAATAGCCTTCGATCATGGGATTTTTAGCTTCTAATTTTATGCCTCTTGATCCTTATCAAGGTTATATTGCCTGTATCATAAAATGAAAAGAGGCATAAAACAAACACGAGCGAAGGCTCTATTAGAACTTCCAAGTCCACGTCAGTGCTCGAGTTATACTTCTTCCAGCACATCCCCAAGTCTGTGCACAGGATCTGCGAGCGCTGATGACAACACAAAGTTGCGTGATTCTTAAGATTGCTGTCAGCAAAGCCAGTAAAGATACATTTGCGGGATTATGGAGCAGCAATGAGAACGGCAAAGTTGTCCGAAGGCGGTGCTGAGTTGCCTGACCAATCGGAGCGCCGCCAAAGCTGAACCAGGTGTTGTTTGACAAGTGTTTTGACGTCTTAGATCTCATTCAGCGGACGACGGGCCAGCCACGCGGACGACCGCTCAAGCACGGGGGCGTGCTGCTTCAGCGCAGTCGGTCTCGAGAGGTTTCAAAAGGATCGGTGGTGTACGACCGACCTATTTACTTTCCCTTCGATCCTCCATTCGCCGCATGTCTTCCTGTTGAGCTTGTTTCGCTGCCATACCATCACGCAGAGCTATGAACGTTCAATGAAAACGCTGCACAATACATCTCCGTTCACCCTGCTCGACTTCGCACTCGTTTAACTTCACCATGATCGAATTTCAATTGCCGCCTAGTGTGCAGAACGTCCTAGACCGTCTCCCCTCTCCCTACATCCTCTTACCCGGCCTCTTCGTCATATACCAGGTTGGCTCCTACACGTATGGATTCGTTCGCAACCTTCGCGCCGCCCAGCGTTCGGGAATCCCCTACATTTGGGCCCCTTGGTACGGTTTCGACCGGAAGTTTCTCGCAACGGAGCCGCTTTGGTGGCCTATTGCCTCACGACTCTTTCCGAACGCGAAGTGGCTGTACATGATACGTGCCGACTGGAGCTGGTACTACCGGCGCGCGCCCTTCGAAGCTGTCGGCTCGGACACCGTAATAATGGTCAACTACTATAAGAATCTGATGTGCACGTGCGACGCAGATGTCATCAGCCAGATTTGCGCGAGGCGCAACGATTTCCCCAAGCCGATTGAGGTGTACGCCATCATGGACATATACGGCAAGAACGTAGTCACTGTGGAGGGTTCTGAGTGGCGGCGCCACCGGAAGATCACTGGCGCACAATTTAACGAGAAGAGCAATTCGCTGGTGTGGAAAGAGTCGCTGTTTCAGGCGCAAGAGATGATGCGATGCTGGAAAGAGGGCATCGCAGGGGGCGACAGAGTGGTCGATGCGGGACGGAAAGGCAATGTAGACGAACCAAGCGTTATTTACGAGCTGAGCCGCGATGCAATGAAAATGACTCTAGGAGTCATCAGCCGCGCAGGTTTTGGCGTACGCTGTCTCTGGCCATCAGCAGATGGCAAAGCCGAGGAAGACGCTCACGAAGGTGCTATGAGCTCAACTACTGTTCCTCCCGGACACGTTATGAGCTACGTAGACAGCCTTGAAACGTTGTTACACCACCTCATCGCTGTCTTACTGCTTCCGCAGTGGTTTCTGAGTATGACCCATTTGCTAACCCCTGCTCTTGTTGCCTTTAGCTGACCAAATGTGCTCAGAATTCTCACCGTTCAAAATTTTCCGGAAAATTGGCCTTTCCTTCACCGAATGGGGCAAATACATGGAAGACTTGTATTTCCAGCAGTTGGAGGCAGCCAAAACAGGAGAATCGTCCAGCAGCGAAAACGACGGTCTTGATCTTATGGGCGCCATGGTCCGCAGCGCAACTTCGTCCAAGTCCAAAATGCCCGGTCTTAGCCAGTCCGAGATCCTAGGGAACTCTTTCGTCATGTTTCTCGCAGGTCATGAGACAGCTGCGAACAGCATTCATTTCGCTGTGCTTTTCCTGGTATGTCGGCCAGATGTGCAGCGCAAGCTTCAAGCCGAGCTTGATGAGATATTCAAGGACGCTCCTGCCGATCCCAAGGATTGGGACTACGAAACTTACCTCCCCAAGCTGTTTGGTGGATGGGCCGGTGCTATAATGAACGAACAGTTGAGGGTTCTTCCCCCTGTGGTCGACATTCCCAAGAGTACGAGTCCGCATCTACCCCCGCAGCCAATCAAAGTCAACGGCAAGGACTGCGTGATTGCCCCGGGCACAGGCATTAATCTGAACAGCATATGTGTACATCGGAATCCGAAGTATTGGCCTGCCGGACCTCAAAGACCAGAAGGTCCGTTCCATCCCTCTAACACGACGAACGACTTGGAGGAATTCAAGCCCGAGAGGTGGTTCGTGAAGGGAACCAAGGAAGAAGCCAGCGAGAAACTACAGCAGGATGCGGACAAAGATACCGGCGTAGATCTTAGTCCAGATACTGCTGACAGCATGTTTCGACCGCCCAAGGGAGCGTATATACCATTCAGTGAAGGATTTCGGGCTTGTCTCGGCAGACGCTTCGCTCAGGTTGAGATTCTTGCAACGCTCGCAGTGATATTCAAGGAACACTCAGTCGAAGTAATGCCGGAGGAAGGCGAAGACGCCATCAAGGCCATGAGTAAAGCTGAGCGAAGAAAAGTGTGGGATAGGGAACGGCGAGAGATCGAGCGGAAAATCAACGAAGAGTCGAGGACCGTGATTACGCTGCAAATGAGAGGTGAGCCCGTTAAGCTTCGAATCTGTAAGCGAGGACAGGAGCTGTTTGATGTTTGATTGTATGTGCAGTGGGTGTAAACATTTAGTCGCATATGTTACTTTTATGTTACTTTGCCCACAACAAAAATCCTTTCCTCTATCCCCGAGTGTCCTCGTCGGTGATCCGCGGGTTTCGGAAATGCATAGATAGAAGGGAGGTCTACTAGTCCGGAGCGATACAGCTCCTGTAGAAAATACTATGTTCTCATCAAAAGATATAGCATGTACAATGTAATGACAGTGTAAACTTTATGAAGATCTGTTTCCTCCCACGTTTGCACTCAGTTTGAAGATCAGACAAGATTCATATTGTATTGTATTACCGGTCATGACATTTGGATCCGAATCTGATTTTTTGTCCTGAGCAGACGCAACTCTAAAAGATCATCGGGAACAGCCGCTGCCCAGTCTTCCATCGCCAGAACATAAAACCAACAGAGCCAATAACGGTAAGGAGCAGCGCAAACCGCCTCCTTAATTTGGCCACCAACGCAGCCTTCCCAGAAGTCAACCAACTTCTCGGAAACTCGTGAGGGAATGGCTCCTTTGGCACTTCCACTCCGAGTATGTTGCAAAGCGGCGCCCATCCGTCTCTCACATCGAAGAAATAAAGCTGCCCTTCAGGAACGACTCTCCTCACATACTGTGCGTGACGCTCATACAGCTCCTCCTGATGCACCATCGGCCACGGTGGTGAGTTCACGTTCGTCATCCCAACAGCCTGCGGCACGCGTCTCCAAAACTCGAAGCTGAACACGCAGAATCGTCTCAATGACGGCGAGAGCCACAACAGCGGGTGAGTGTACAATTCGTATATACTACTCCACAGCGCGACGTAACTCGCCCACCAGCTCTCCCTCTCCCTCGTCGTGCAGATTACCTTGGCATTCGGGTACAGCTCCAGCAGTTCTTCAATGAAGTAGCATCCGGGCTGATCTGTGCTTGCCACACATCCTTCTGTGAGCTCTCGCAAGTGATCGAGGACCAGGATGCGATCGGAGGAAGTGCGGACGGGGCAGAGTGAGGCCAGCGAGAGAAGCAGTCGCTGGCGTTGTGGAGGTCCGCGGAAAGAGTCACTGCCTCCGTCGAACACAGGGCCAGCGAGGAGGATGGAGAGAGCGCGCCCAGTGGTTGTAGTGCCTGTACGTGGGAGGCCGCAGGAGATTACCTGAAATCTAGGCTTGCTGGAGGTATATTCAGCCATGAATGAGGGCGAACGACAATTTGGGCCGTTGTCGCTACAGCACGTAACAATAAAGGAACACGAAGGTACAAAAGGCTCGTTATGTGTTTAAAGACTTTTTCCAGTGAGATTGTTTCGTCATTCTTTGCTGTCAGTTTCCCCGCAATTGCCAAAGAAGCGGGGAATTCGGACGCCCATCGACTTTTGTTGATAATTGACATGCCGATTATGTTGGGCAACCTCCAAGAATAGAGCCATTGATTGTATAACATCTCTGTATGGGCAACATTTAAATCTGGATGCGGACAGACAGACAGTGATTGGCCAATCTTCACGACTGGAGCAAGCTCTTAGGCGCATGGGACAGTAACACAACGCTTTGAGAATAGGAGTAGACGAGTGTACATTATCTTCTACGTCACCATTATTGCGACAAAGCACAGCACCTGACAATCAAATAGTTGCGGGAAATTTGAAATTTCGTTCGAAAATCTCTCTCTTTCCTGATCCTGCAACTTACCTCAGTCAAGTTAATCAATGCCGGGTGATTCAGGCAAGAAAATCCATGTCGACATGAATTTGGGGCGCACCTGTTTGGTCAAGTTTGAGGTCTGAATAAGTCCAACAGTCAGCAAGCGAACCCCCTGGAAGGAACGCATGTATTGCACTGTGCTCTTTGTGGTGTAGACGCAGATACGAGCATATAGAAGGACATTCCACCTTGGCCCTTAGCCCAACCCACCAAATGCTTCGACCGGCTTTTTGATACCACAGATAGAGCAACAAGAGCACAACGGGATCTTTTTCTTGCAGCAAACGTTCAAAGGCGCCACATATACTACGAGTGAATCGTCCCGTTTGACCTACTGTAACCTGGCTATCGGGAAGCTCATAAAGCTGAGATACGGCGTGGGCAGCATTGAAAAATGGATTATTTTCCGCTGTAGATGACTTTTCGAGGTTGCATACGGTGGCTAAGGGACCTGGAATGCCATCTATGCCTTTTTCTGGAAATGGCGCATTGATATGAGCGTATGTAGCTGCCATGACACGGAAAAGACTGTCGGGTCGCAAAGGGTTTGTTATACGCCACAATGACATTTTCCCATTGCTCATATGCAACCACGCTAGATCGGAAGTAGCAGATGGCTTTAAAGGCCATGACTCTTCTGGACTGTGCGCATCAGGAGAAGAGAAGGTCAAGACGGCGAGAGCGGCGGCCGTGCCCCATATCGCATCCATATCCTTTGTTTCCATTGGCTCTTTCAGTCGTTGGTTGAAGAGAGCTATGCTCTGGGACCAGTGATACCACTCCTCTATAGTGAGCCGACCATCTGATGGGTTGTTTAAATGCCGGTCATATGCAAATGCTATAGCCAGAGAGGCGTGCATCAAGTAAGGATGCTGTAGGTCACATGTCAGCGGAGCTCTGGTCTCTGGGTAAACAATCTGGCTTAGATATCCTCTCCGAGGAAGAAAAAAAATCTTGATAGAACATACAGTGAAGGCCAGCTTTAGGAGTTCGCGATTAGCTTCAAACATATTGGGGTCATCAGGAACCATAAGACTTCGTCCTAGATACCGCGTTATGAAATCTTGACATTTAGAGTTCAAGTGAAAGAAATTCGATCCATCCGACGCCCAGATGGCATCTGGAAGGTGTCTGAACCCTCTAGATTTTCCTCCGGGGAATGGGCTAACTAGTCCACCGGCAATGGGCTGAAGGTCTGCGGTGTTTGGCATGTAATTGCAAATGATCCCGAATAAAGTACATCTCTCACACTGTGGTTTGCCTTCATCGCACTGAAGGACGAATAAAGGAATCACTTAGCCAGACTTCACCTCCTCTAAATTACGAGAGCAGCTAACCTTAAGTTTCCTGAGTTTGCAATTTCGGCAACCGAATCTCGACCTGCGCATGATTCGGCGCTCAGCTGGCACCCCACGTGGACATCCCGACTTCATAATTGATCAGCTTTCCAGCATTCCAGATTAGCGGAAAGCGAAAGTCCTCTTCAGACTCCGAAGCACCAGGATGTGTACGAAATTCAAAGAAAAGAAGGAGCTCAGCCTGAACGCTAAGAGAAAGGCATAGAACTAATAGCAGTCTCTTAAGGCGCTAACCCTGCTTCGGCTACGAGGGCTCAGACTAGCTGTGGTTCGGCTGCAGACGAACCTAATTGGCTAGAGATCCCAACCTTGTTCCTGATAGTCTGTTGTATGCAATATAAATTATAGTCGGATTCAACAGATGGCTACTTCGTCAAGGGGCAGGGTGTGAACTACCGGCTTAGCTATAGAATATAAGTAGCAAGCTGCTCTCCACCAAAGTTGTGATGTAAAATATCACGCTTCACGCAATCAAGATCACAAAGCGATCTATTTTCCAGACTATAATCATACAAGGCGCTTTCAACTTGACAGGCGATATATCTTTGGATTGAAAATAACTTCTATCATGATCTCCCACCTTGCAGCTGTTTCCCCCGCAAAGGGTCAACCATTTGTAGTTGAAACCCGTCCTACTCCCAAGCCAGGCCCGGGCGAGCTCTTGATCGTTGTCAAGTCTGTAGCGCTAAACCCAGCAGACCACATTATGCGGGAGCACGGCTTGCTCATAACGTCCTACCCTACAGTGCTCGGTTTCGACATCTCGGGTCTAGTCCTCGAGGTGGGCGACGACGTTCCTACCGGTGGGAATGCAGACAGCTCAAGCTTGTCATTCCAGCCAGGTATCACACATGTTGCGGCCTATGCAGCATCGTTCTGGCGATCCTGGAACTCAAAATATGGGGCCTTTCAGGAACGCTGTCTCGTACCTTGGCAGCATGCCGTTCCCCTTTCAGATACGCAGATGTCTTGGAATCACGCAGCGACACTGCCAGTGGCCGTCCAAGTCGCTCTTAACGCATGGGATGCGTTGGGCATCCAACGTATTGGTGCCATTGCTGACACATGTTCTGATATTCATGCTTCAGTCGATGTTGAACTTTGTGGAGGAGAGTCGACGAGTAATTATAAACAAGAGGTCCTGTTAATCTGGGGTGCTTCTTCTAGTGTGGGCACCATGGGTGTACAGAGTGCGCGATTGTTGAAGAACGATTCAAACTCTCCATTTGCCGCAGTTTATGCAACAGCAGGACTACCAAATATCGAATATGTGAGATCGCTGGGCGCTGATCGCGTTTTCGACTATAAAGATCCTCAAGTTGTTGATAAGATAGCATCAGCGGCCAGGGAAGATGGATTGGTGATCCGAAACTGTTTTCTTGCTGTCGGCCAGTTATCCCAATGTCAAGCTGTGCTACAGGCTTTCCTGACGACCGGAGGAAGGGGAGAAGGAAATGCGAAGATTGCATCGGCGCCAATCATTCCCGAAGACGCGGATATGGTAGACGGAGTCGAAGTGATTTTCCTCCAGCCATCAATGGATGAAGAAATGAGGTTAGAACAATTTCGATACTGGATGGGAACGTGGTTGAGAAATGCCTTGGCCAAGAGATCTATTCGTCCAAGCCCGGAACCAACTGTTGTGGGTACAGGGTTGGGAGCTATTAACACTGCGTTAGACATGTTGCTTGGCGGAGTGAGTTGTACAAAACTAGTTGTTGAGGTAGAACAGTGAGGGCTTTCCACAGTTCATACCGCCTTGTCGGCTTCAAATTACTGTGGCCTCTTCAGCGGGGATTTGAGCATCTACGCATTAGAGAAATAGGTTTTGACCTCTAGTTCATCACACAAAATCGTTCCATTTAGTACAATTTGGCTATCCGATTCTGTCGTTTCTAAAAAGCAAATGAAACAGTTGCTTCATGTCCAGGAAAAAGGTTCAAATCCACCAGGATCTGTCTTTTATTTGTGGATGATAGACAAACAAGTAGATAGGATAAACACGCGGGAGTGCAGCTGTACTCTCTTGTTGCTGATCAGGGATACTCCAGGACATCTGGGACTTTAGCAGTCAAGGATGAAAAAAATTTGAATTTCCTACATCATAACATCTGATCCATACGCTTGTCGACATATTCAATGCTGGAGCGGAATGACAAAATTGGCGAAAACTGCACAAGATCACATTCACTTGAAGATTGTGACGGGCTGGCTTGAAAACAGGTGAAACAGCACTGCAGCGTTAAATTTGTTTATTCGGATCAGAGAACCTCCTTGTGAGCTATTGAGAAGGTATTTGATATGTGAAAATCAAACAAAGTGTCGAAGCAGCTGAGGGCAGACTTAAATTGAGAAACCTAAAGCGATAGAAAAAACATCAATCTCGACATCATGAGTTCCAGTGACCAGTTATCACGGATTTACGGCCAAGAAAAGCACTTTCGGTGATTACATGAGGTGAAGAGCGTCGTTATGACGTCGTGACAGCCTTTGATAATTTCCACAGCTTCTTGAAACCACGACACAAAACTAAGCCCACTGGACGCCCCAACAATGAAGTATGTCACTCGCAAATTGGAAAATTTAGATTGTTAAACCTCATAATACCTCGCATAGGCTGGTAGGTATTGGCTCCATTACAGCTCCTAACTAGTCGGGCATGTAACCAAGGAATATTGACAATTAGTTCCATTATGGTAGATCTGCGTTGAGGACTTTTACTAAACTTTTTTTTGTTGCTTCTTTCGCGTGCATACTGGGCCAAGAGTTATGTATCAAGTAGTCCAGATTGAGCAGCTAAGTATCTAGCTGAATTTCGCAAGGGCACCAAGTGTCTACTTCCATTTAGTCCATCTCCGCAAAAATCGTGTTAGAACGGCCATGTCATGAATCATTTTCGTGCTTCTGACCAGTTCCTTAAGAATTCAAGGAAGTTTCATCAACGCTTGCTTCTCTAAACCTTCAGTAACGGTGGTTTCGACGAGACCGGGATCTTGATCTTGACCTGGTACGAGAGCGAGTCCGAGACCGCGACCGTGCTCGAGAATGTGAATGGCTGTGTTCGCGCCTGTGGTTTCTCCTCGGCCTTTCTGGCTCCTGACTGTTGGAACGATAATGGTGCTGAGGGTGTGGTGCGTCCTGGCGTGGCTGGTACTGTTGGTACGAAGGAGGATAGGGTGGTGCAAGATAACCTTGGTTGCTGCTCATTGGAAATGTCGAGACGGGTTGATGGTATTGTCCAGGAGGAGCGTGCCAACCTGCTGCTGCGTTGGGTGGTGGCATTGGCGGATGTGGTTGAGCAGAGTACGGTACGTACGGCTGTGACGGATGACCAAGAGGATATTGAGGCGTTCTTTGATCAGACCCGAACGATTCAGTCCCTTGCCAGCCGGTTGGAGCGTATCCTGGCGGGGGTACGCTATGTGGTCTACGAGGTGCATCTGGTGGAAACAGAGAGCTTGTTTGATTTTGCGGTTGTGACTTTGCTTCATGTTCAGGAACCCAGCCGCGGCGACGTAAATCTTCTTCAGCCTCCTGACGCATTGCTTCTCTACGGTTCTGCCTCACGCGGTGGAGAAGCGTGCCGGCGGCAACGACCTCAAGACCTCCGAATAGGACCATGTTCGTACTTGTCTAAATTGTTCAAGCATAAATAAATGCCGATAGCTGTAAAATCGAGACGGTAGGTGCGGCCAGACTTATGAAGTTGTGGAAGACAAAGTCGAGCTCCGGTCAGACCGAAGACGAAAAACACCGCAACTTACTTCAATTCGTCCGGAATTTAGCCTTGATTCAACACTGCACCAGAGGGCTGAGTCCGGATAAAGGCAAGACGGGAACCTCTCCGAGTCAACCGAGTTTGCTCGACCCCCGTCTTTCTGGTATTCTGGATCTTACGATCAGAGCTTGCGACTTTGCCTTTCTGGGCCCGGCCATTCTAGAACAAGCACCAGTAAGTGTGGGATTAATGCATGTACAGCACTCGACCCGTCAGATAGAGCGAAACAACGAATGTGCGAACGCTCCCAATTGAGGACAAGCACTCGTGGATTAGCTTATGCAATGAAAAAGCTTAGCATCGACTACGATGAAGCTAAGCAAGGTGCCGAATCAGCCTGGCTTTTCACAACACACGAGCTGAATGCAGGGCTGTGCCAGCGGCAAGGTTACACAGAACGGCAATCACCGAAGGGAACGACAATCATTGCTTGTTCCCACAGACCGGCGCTCATCATGAAACAACGTTGTCATCCCTACGCAGTCGCCTCAACACCCGGATCCAGCTCTTCCTCAACAGGATGGCATTGTTCCCGACCGGGGAGGAACAATGCCAAGTTAATATCGAGGCCTAGCTAGCTCATGCTGAAGGGGCTCGATCGGTATCATGCCGCATACTGTACGGCGCTGTTCTCGGCATAGTGCCAAATGCGCCTTGTATTGCACTTCGCATGAAGCCAGCCGCTGGACCTAATCAGTACTCGACAACTACCATGAGGTCATGATTCTGCTACCGGATTCGCAAAACCCTCAGCTACTGCAGCGACTGGTCTTTTGACGTCCGCAAACACGTATTGCCTCCATTCATTAGATGTCAGCAGGATCGTCACTGCAGAATGTTCGCCAAGAGTCTTCAGCCCCCAAATATAGAAAGCAGACGAGAGTTCCTTGCATCGAAAGCCGTGCAGTGTAAGCACGAGTGGCCTTGATGCTGTCCAAATGAAAGGCTGATCCACAAAGACCACCGCCTGAGCAAAAGGTCCCGAAATCTGAGTCTGCGCTCGTCCGCTCAAAATCTCACTCTCTCTTCTGCCGGCCTCGTCTTTTTCAATTCTCTTTTGCGTCTTGCCATTCTCTATTTTCACTTTACTACGTACGCTCGTTCTGGCTGCATCACTCAGCGTGTCAATCATGGGCAATTCACTACGTTCACTCATTTTGAGTGCAGGGATGGCAGCCGGTGCTGCGCTGCAGGCTCGCAATTCTTCAACATCATGGCAGTTTGAGAATTGGGACGTCATTGTTGTAGGTGCGGGTCCTGCTGGTATCATCGTCGCGGATCGCATGAGCGAGGCTGGCAAGAAAACACTTTTGCTCGAAGGTGGCGGCTCATCCTATGCTATTACTGGAGGCACGGAGAGCCCTGCATGGCTCGACGGAAGCAGCCTCAGTCGCGTTGACGTCCCAGGTCTATACAAGTCAATTTTCTCGGTGCAGGGTGATCTGACGTGCCAAAATTACACAACGGCGTTCGTCGGCTGCACGATAGGTGGCTCAAGTGCAATCAACGCCGGTTTGTTCTTTCAGCCACCAGCTTCGGACTTCGACGACTATTTTCCAGCCGGGTGGAAGTTCAGCGACGTCAACGCTTCGATTTCCAAAGTTTACGCTACCATCCCAGCATCTGACGTGTATTCACAAGACAAGACGTTCTACCTGCAGACTGGATACACCGCTGCCCGGAAATGGCTCGTCGACGGTGCTGGCTTTGCAGACGTCGATCTCAACAAAGAGGCGAACAACAAGTCGAAAGTTTTTGGTCGCCCGATCTTTGACTACATCGATGGTCAGCGAGGTGGACCCGTTCGAACATATCTACAGACGTCATTAAAACGTGACAATTTCCACTTGCAGATGAACACACGCGTCTTGCGTGTGGCTCGCAACGGCACGACCGCTACCGGTGTGGTCCTTGCTGCAGACAATTCGACTGTCAAGCTTGCTCCCGGCGGCCGTGTCATTCTGTCTGCCGGAGCCATGCAGTCACCTCAGATTTTAATGTATTCTGGCATCGGGGACCCGAGCCTTCGACAAAACTTGACGGCGGGTGGTATTCTGGATGGTGTTAACGGGTGGATCGACAACGCAGCTGTTGGTGACGGCCTGTTTGACAATCCCAACACCTTCATCGAGCTTGAAGGCCCATCCATAGAGTCCTACACGTACAGTTATACGGATCCCATATCCGAAGATGCTCGTGCCTATCTCGATACCCGTTCTGGACCCTATTCTTTCGCGTCTGAGACAAGTGCATTCTGGGACTACATCGAGAATGCAGACGGAAGCAAGACCGCATGTCAGGGGACCATAGACTCCGCTGGCTACGGCAGCTACACAAACAATAACACCATCACACTCAATGTGTACGGGACCTCCGGGCTCAAGTCGAAGGGCAAGGTTATTCTCAACGAGAAATATCTGCCGAGCAACTCACCAGAAGTCTACTACAGTGACCCGCAGGATGCGGAGGCCATCGCACAATTCATTTTCAACATCTTCCAGTCATTGCCCGGCTCTGGATTGACGCCGCTAAACATCCAGGCAAACTGGACCAAGGACGAGATCAAAGACTACATTACGAGCAGCACGGAGTACACACGCGGCGCCGTGCAGCATTGGAGCAGCTCGTGCCGAATCGGCAGCTGCGTCGACGTCAACGCGCAGGTCGTGGGCACGACCAACATTCACGTCGTCGACGCGTCAATTCTAGAGCCGCTGACCGTCAATCCGCAGGTGGGTCGACACCATGCTTTCTTTCTGACACGACGTTCGCTGACGGGATTTCGCAGTTTGGCACCATGATTGCCGCGGAGCACGCCTCAGAGCTAATCCTCAAACTCAAGTAAGTGCCCAGAGAGCTCGTCAACGTCCACATTCGTACTTTGGCATATTCGGGGTATGTGAGGGGTATCTAGGCCGAGAAGCACGCAGCACCCTTGTTTATACTCATGTCTCTGTAAAATAACTAGCATCCCTGCGCAAATTGCGTACCCTTCTATATTCATTCCTCTTCTTTCTTTTTCTTTTTTCTTTCTTTTGTTTTTGGCAGACTGCCTTGTAAGTTCTCTTCACATGAACATGTGCACTGTGTCTTGGCTTAGATCTTAGCATGTGACGGCGTCTGGGACGATGATTCCAACATCCGAGAAAAGGACGTGATGACCGCTTGGTCTCTCTGGCAGCGGCTGGCTAACGTTTTGCTCGTGCGCAAGTGCCACAACTGCGGTCGCCACCGCTTCCAACGGAACTGCGCCCTCCAGCACACCAACTGCGTCCGCGTCGTCGCCGACTCATTCAAACACAGCAAAGGTGGAGGCCCTGACGCGCTCCACGTGGTTGACTGCCGCGTTGTCCATGGCGGTAGCTCTCGGCTTCGCGATGAACATGTAATCTGCGCCGCCCGTGGATTGAAAACCCGAATCGAGCAACTGTGATGGTCCAGCACGGCATTGGCGTGGCGCATGAGGAGACACAGACGAACAAAACCGTACGTGTATCTAGTCGCTCCGTGTAATCGTGATGGACTCGCGACCGACGATGCTGCCTAAAAAGAAAAGAAAAGAAAAGGTTCACAACTTTGTACATCGCTTCCCGAGCGTTTGAACTCGACGAGGCAAGAGAGATGCACGCACGCTTTTTATACTTGGTTACCAAAGAAAACGGCATTGCCGACTCCACAATGTGGACAGAAACCACGTTCATTCTGGGCTCATCGCGCGAAACGTCTGAGACAAAACTGAACGATAAAAAGCGTTTGCAAACAGCAGATCAAATAAAATGGAGCTTTTGATTTCCCTTTTTTTTTTATTATTTCTTTTCTCTTTAACCAACAGGTACCTCGTCTGCCCCTTTTCTTACCTACGAGGGCGCACCCGATGTCGCGATGGAATTTGCATTCTGATGTCCTTCAACACCCGCCGCGTTGAGCTCGCCGGAGTTGATCTCTCGTCTCGTAACTGCGTTTGCCACTTCTCTGACCTTGTCGCCAAGGTAAAGCCTGAACAGGCCCAGATCCTGCTTGATCATCGCGTGGCCCACGCCTAAGATGCTAGCCTGAAACGACCTCAAGTTGGCCTCCGTCTCGAACTCCAAGCCGACGTTGCCCGCGCGGGCAAAGTATACGCGCTTCAGACCATGCGGGCAAGGCACGAAGACGGTCTTGCTTCGGCTGTTGTGGTACGTCATCATCGGGGTGTTGGCGTGGAAGGCCGCCGCTTTGATGGCGTCGCCGACGGAACTGCGTGCGCTGTGGGTGAAGTTGAAGCCGAGATAGGGGCGGGTGGCGCCCGTGGGATCAAGCGATATCTCGACCGTATGTGGGAATGGTGGATGGCGAATGTTGCGGCTGTTTTTCTTTGGAATGTTGACGGGGTTCATTGCAGTCAAGAGGCCCGATCGGCGCAGAATGCTGGGCCCTGACAACGCGTCAAATAGTCGTCGATGAGACTGGTCTCGGTTTCGCCCTTGTTGAATTTTTCTGTTCCGGCTTATCCAATCGGCCTTTGGAAAGGGACTACGTGGAAGCGGGAGGCGAACGTGGGCGTTGAATGGGATACCGTATTTCAAGGTAACCACCGTTCTTGATCCCGTTTGCTTTTGAAATTTCAATGCATGATTTGCGGCAGTTGACGGCGGGCATTCGCCTCGCCCGCTGGAAAGATTGTTTGCATGGAACATCTAAACAAGATGCAGGAGCCCGATAAAGACGGGGCTCGGTCGTTAACCAACGTGCTGGATGTGAAAATTGGGGAGCTTGGAAGGCTTCACGTCCAGATCGGTTGAGACGTGCTCCGATGATAATGAAGGTATTCTATTCGGCTGCCTCTCAAATAATAGAGCCAGGAAGAAGGGATCATCAGAAACGTTGAAATAGCCGTCCGTTTATATGTCCTTGCGTCTAACAAATATGAACAGTGCTTCATCTTTTCCCGCGAAGCTGGGGAGAGGTATCTGAGCCACTCTCTCAAATTCGGGCCGCTCTCGAGCCATCCAACTCGTAACCGTTTCGCCAGGTGGTCCCGTAAAACCGTTCAAATTTTGCGTACCCGCGACAACAACGGCGTCGCCGTTGAACGTCTGCAGAACACTCGGTGTGAAGTCATTCGAAACCTGCGGGTAAACAAGCAATAGCACCGCGCCTTGGCCCCTCGTCCCGATCGCTGATGCTGTGGGTATGGCCTGTGCAGCAGAAGTCGTCTTGACATATTTTTGTGGCGTCTTCAAGAATGAGACAGCATCTGCCGATATCGTGTCACCGATCCACATCGTTCGCCATGCTGACAGGGCATTATCTACTGCATACACAGTAAGACCCACGCGCCTGAGTAGAAATGTCCAATACCCGTTTCCGCTGCCGAGATCCAAGACGGGCCGTTCGACAGTAGAAGCGCCTACTGCCTTCGGTGGTTTGGCGAGCTGACTGATCAAACTTAGCGCATCCCATGTCGGACAAACACAGCCAAAGTGGTGATAAAAGACGGGCAGTATGTGGTGGCTCTGCTTGACATTCACAGTGTGGGCATTTGGTCCTGCCCACTCCAGACAATGGGAGCTCCAGGTCCAGAAATCGAAGGCGGGATTTGGGATCGGAACAGCCTTTTGTTTGGCAGGTAGCACGAGACCCGATTCCTTGGAGGGCGGAAAGAAGTTGTCCACAAGATGCTTCGATATACTGGCTCTGAGCGACCCTTTCTTCGCATTCCCGGCAAACGCGGCGAGGGCTTTCGAAGTAGCCGTTGTGGGCGAGAAAATTTGGGTGTAAGCTTCTATGTCGGCCTGACTGGGTGGTGCGATCTGTTCTTACGTGTCGTTACTATCAATCACGATCATGATCACCATCGTTTCTAAGCAGCGGGGTTATATGGGTTTATGGCACAGACTGGGGCAATTGAAGTGCATTGGTGTTACCTGCTGGCCAGCTTCATCTCGGTACCATGCGTGCATGCCGTTTGCAGAGCCATGGTCGATGGCTACTTGCACCTGGGCGAGAGTCACGCTCGCGATGGCATGATAGACATAGTCATCGGTCGGTTTAAGGCCGAATGCATTCATGATCGCGGCGCGCAGGTCGTTGTTCTGTGGCGCGCGGGTACTTGCATTCCACGATTCCAGGAAACGGACAGGATCAAAGTGCGAGGAGCCGATCGTCTTTGCGCCCCCTTTCAACGATTTGGACGGACTGCCAGACATGGTGTCAGCTTACGGTCGTTTCTCGTGCCTCGACTCGGCCTCAACACTCCGCAATCTCCAAGGGCCGATAGCGTTTGCCAGAAGACGACAAATGCGTTGACGGGCCGCGGCGTTGGTCATTGCCGGCTCCGATCTTCGGCCAAACGTGTCTGCTCACTCCTGTAGCTCTTCTCCTTATGCAGCACATCTCTGAACATTTACTGCCTCCTTGACTGTGCAGATCAGGTCGTTTAGACGCTGTCACGTTGCCTGAGTAACCACGCCAATTCGTCTCCCCGCTCCTGCATTGCACATTTCCACCTAGCGAGAACCGGAGGCGAATTGCAATCCTGCCCTGCGTCTACTTCTTTCGGCAATTGACCACACAATGCGAAGCAGACGCGGATTTTACTTGCGTCAGCATCTTGCAATCGACCAAGGCGTCAGCGAGACCACATTCGTCATGTGGGGATTGCAATTGCTGCGAATTCAAAAGCGAAGAGCATCTACAGCCTCGGTTCTTCAGTGATGAAGAGCAAGAGTCACCTCTCTCCCCCCCTCAAAAAATCTGAGCGGGGGCAATACACGGCGTGCAATGGATGATCATGTTGAGGAGACAAGGGTGATACGAGACTCCATCGACGAAAATATACGTATCCAAGACGCAATTTGTACACGTCCAGGCCTTAGTTCGACCGTTTGCTGAGTTGGCAGTTGTGCCGCGTAATTGCCGCAGCCAATGAGGGGCGAGAGCTGGGTTGGTGCAAGCTAATTTGGCCACAGAAGGAGCGACGGACGAAGCGGGAAGGCTAAACCGTTGCTGACCGGGTCGGGCCTGCCGGGACAGATCGAAGGAACACGTGACGGCTTGAAGGTGCTTCGTACCGGAACATTCAACATTGTAGCGTCCTGCCTCGCTGGAGGCGGGGGAGAGATGCAACGAGGTAGGTTTTATTGCCTGTCGCTGTTTGTGAGCAATGGAAAGTGTTTTGCGTCATCTGTTTTCAAGGCTCCCCTTCCGTTCGACGCGCCATTATGCAATGCAGCAAGACATGCGGCTGGCACCAGCAGACGAAGCAGAAGCAGAAGCTAGGTACTGGCACAGAAACTGCACAACGTTCGCCAAATATGCAACCCTCCCCGTCAGAGAAGCTTCGCTTCCTTGCGCTCATCATGGATAGCCGACGACAACGGATCGATGGGCGGGTAGGATGACGGGTTGGATTCACGAAGGGAAAAGAGTCGGTGTGCTTCAGATCGGGCTTGCCTGGCACCTCTCGGAGCACTTCAATCGCCAAAAGCACAAGCAATGGTACTTCGTGCCATCCAAAGAGCATTCTGCCCTGTTGAACCCGGCGCTTGTCGCCACTCACGGCACGCGCATATCGTAGCGCAACATGCATTCTTTTGTGCCAGATCAGCCGTAGAAAGGGAACCCATTGCGTGGGCCCAATTGGTGCATCGCGGGCATGCGTGGGGTCGCGCCCATGGACGTACAGGCGGGAGGAGAGCAAAGAGCTGCGTCACACGCTGTAGCACTTGCAGGATGTCTTTGTGGTCGTTTGAACGGATGGACAGACGCAATAGAACGGCGTTTGGGGGCTACGACGGGCATCCAGAAGGATCCAATGTCTTGGTAAATCGGATATTGCACCCATGGCCGCACAGAAACCACACACCGGTGAAAGCGCAGACTGCTGGCGGCCAGCGTGTTATCGATAGCTATGCCCCAACCTACCCTGGATATTGTTGAGCAACAGTCCGCACCTCTGTGTGCTGATTTCAGAGTGCCCGGTACGCACGTCGGAACTATGGCATCTTAAAGCATTAGGGAGACATATCATGCATACGCCGTATCAAAGGCGGCAGCCAAGTTTCAACCGTGCAGGTTTGGCGCAGGCTCGAGGGGGGACTTTTGTTCGCTCAAAGAAGTGCGAAAAAAGGTGGCAGCTGAAAAAAGGTGAGTGGCTGGTTACGGCCCTACAGGCGAGGCGCAGGCTTCGTTCTGCTTTGGTGACATGGCACCATCCCTGGTTGCCGGGCCAGAACTCGGGCGCTAGTTTGGGCGAGACCCACTCGTGATGACGGCTCTACGAAAGAGAAAGCTGTGGCCGGGGGAACTTCACCTTCCCAGGATTTCCTACTCTTCTCTAAACCTGATCGCCCTTCACTGTTCTGTGCGCACACGCAAGGCGAACACGCTGTGAGTAGTCGACGAGCTCTGCGACGACGAAGGCGACGGCGACGACCCCGCGCTGAGTGGGCCGCTTCCGTCTTGTGCAGTCACCGTCGTCTCGGTGGCTCTTGACCTTTTTGTTTTTGGTCACCCTGCCATTCGATTTACAGAGGAAGGAACGAAGGTACGCAGTCACAGCTCTCCGATTCGCGCCTGCCAACGCATCATTGCCGCTTGCACACATACAAACTCCACGGTCCCAACCACCACGAGCATCCCTTGGCCCCAAAACTTCCGCACTCTCTCTTGCTGACATCCATCTCTGGCCAGCTTTGCTTTCGTTCCCTGTCGAGCGGGGATTGATCCAACGTCAGTAGTCGCTCTCCGCACCAAGTTCACCGCGCTTGCAGCTCGCTTCGAATGCCCTCTGTTGAAAGCCGGCTGGCTGACATCTAAACCACCAGGTGACCTCCCTGCTTCAAGCTCCCTCTCCAACCTGGAGACGGATAGAGCGAGCGTCACGTCGCTCCTAACAGAGTCGCACCAAGACGCTCCTTACAGCCCTCGGCCAACCGTCCCTGATGTACTCGTCAACACCGTAAGCAGCAGCATCATCAAGCTGTGAACCAGCAGCACGCGCGCCTCGGTGCAAGCGGGCAGACAGTCGCGCACAGAGGAAGATATAATGGGTACACAGGCACGACGCATCCCACTTCCAGCGCCTACCGACATCAGTTCGAGCGCCCTCGGCACTAGCGACGACCTCGCCACTGACATTTCCCGTGCCACCGACCGCACCTCATATTCGATTCCTGAGGACGGCAGCCCTGTCACCATCACCACCAAGCGCAGCAAGGGCGGGAAGGACCAGTCCCAAACCACTTTGCTGATTGAGTACTACGAGCCCGGCAGGACCGCCGAAGGCGTCAAACCACGGCCTAGCGTGCGTGTGCGCGTCACGCCGTCCGGTTCAGGGAAGGCACGGGCCAAAAGTGGAGAGAAGGGCTGTATCCAAATCACAGAGACTGGCAAAAACCGAAAGCCCTCATACACGCGGCGCATCTCGCTGCCGCACTCGTCCTCTGAGGCGCTCGACGCTTCCGAGATCTCGGAATCGTCATCGGGACGACCTCCCGTAGAGGTAGAAGTTCTACAGGGGACTAGTGACTTGTCGCAACGCGAACAATCGCCAACCAGGTACTACGTTCCCACTTCGGACGTCTCATCTATACCGCCGGACTCTTTGCTGGACGGGAGCACGCCTGCCATCATTACATCTAGGGCCGAGAGCAGAGCCATAGATCAGGTTGACGGAAAAACGGTTGCTGTTCCATCACTCAAGGCGCCCGTTGGAGACCGCGACCGTAGCGTGAGCAGAGAGAGATTGGCTCAGAGCGCCATGAAGAAGATCCAAGAGCGGGAGGCCTCTGCCCGGGGGGAGGTCACTTCAGCCAAAATGAAGTCCATGAGTCGTCGCAGCAGTGGAAGTTCTGCGAATGAATATGTTATTGACGAAGCGGCCTCGCCAAAGACACGCTCGCGAAGATCGAGCGAGCGCGGGGCTTTGCAGGAGCCCTCTGAAGTTAGCGCCCTGAGCGCTGGATCGGCCGCAAAATCCTCCATATCTGCACGATCGAATGCATCCTCTATTAACAATCCAAAGCTGCTTTCCGCGGTCGAAGATGCAATCAAGAAACTAATTCTTCCGGAACTAACCTCCCTGAAAGAGGAACAAGCCCGTGTCAAAGAGGAACAGGCACGACAAAAGAACCGGATGAAGTTTGAAGAAATGTCATTCGACTCTAAGGCTCCAGCTGGCGCTCGCGATAATCTACGTCGTGTCTCAAAATCTTCTAGCTCCCCGAATGTCAGAACAAGTGTGCTCTCCGACGAAAAGTTCGCCGATGTTTCAGAGTCAGTAAGGAGCAAAAAGTCGCGCAGATCAAGTCGTGGATCTGACGCGAGTCACGACACGGCCATTCGAGAGGAAGCCTCTTCGCGGCGGAGCAGTCGTGAGAAAAAGCACAGTTCCTCCAAAGTCGCGGCGGCTGCCATGGCAGGTGCTGCTGCTGGTGGTGCCTTGACCGCGGCGGCTTTGCAGCATCACGATTCGATTCATAGTCTGGACGAGGAGCGCAAGAGAAGGAAAAGACGGAGCAAGAGCAGGAGTCGATCAGCTAGTCTCGCAGAGAGCGTGGAGGTTCAGACGAAAACAAGAAAAGCAGACGATCTAGAGATTCCAGCACTGCCAACTTTACAGCAAGAGAGTGCAGTCGGTACCGATGTCACACGTGACTCCATTCTCTCAGCAGAAACAGATCGGCCGCAGTCGCCTGTTGAGTCTCTCACTGATATTAAAAAGCATGAGATCAAAAAGGTATCGACGGGGTCGCCTCGTCAGGTCCTATCCCCGGAGCCGCGGGCGCCGTCCAAAACGTCTGGGAGATTACTTGCTGGCAGCCCACACTCCGAACGCAGTGTTGAATCGGGAGGCAGGGTAAGACGCGCTGTTCAAGAGATCGATCTTGCCCAACATGAACGTGTCCGATCTCTTAAAAGCAGCGAGTCGCTGTCCTCGAACCGCAAGCCGCGGCGACATCGTTCCAATCTGTCCGTTGAATCGATCGAGAGCTCTCCCCAACATGACATCCCTAAGCGGCAGCGACCCATTGGTATTAACCTGGAGCACCCCAGCGAGGTTTTACCCGATGAGCCGTACAGCTCCAACGAAGCTGATCCCGAGTGGTTTGAGAAGGAGCATCAACGCAACGAGGAGCTGCGACGGGAATATGAGGAAAGTCAGGTGGGTTCCAATGGTCGTCGCTACACGGATGAGAGTTTCGCAGATGGAATCCACAAGAAGTCTTTTGACATGGAGCGTGGCATAAGGGATGGCGCTGAAGCGAACCCAGAGTACGTCCACACACCGGTTGCGGTTGAGTCTGCAGTTGCTTCGCTTCACGAGCCAAGTGTGCTTAGCAGTGTTCATTCCAGCCAAAAGACGGATTCCGCACTTGATGGCTTCGGTCACGAAGGTTCCGTCAGTCGTGACATGGAAAATGGACAGCGTACAAGCTTAAGCAAAGAGCGTTGGGAAGCTATTCGCGATCAAGCGATCGAAAATGCCCGAAAGCAAACAAATTCTGCGTCCCCACGCCAAAGCGAGTCTTCTCTTACTGATCGGCCCGTTATGGGAGCCAGTGCGATCCCGTTGGCTCACGATCAACTTCCCGAGCCGGGATATTACGATAACGAATCTGAGATCACGACTAATCCATCGCTCATCAAAGGACCCATCGGTGGGCTTGAACATGGCAATAGAGATCATTGGCCGTATGACCCAACGCCAACCATGGGGCCGAACAGAGAGACTTCGAATGTCCACGAAGACCACACTGTACGAGACCTTGCACTAGGAGCTAGTGCTGGAGCTGCAGCTGTAGGGCTAGGTCTTGCGACGGCGAGGTCACAGGAGAGCGCAAAGTCCGCTACTAGACAAATTGACCGCCGGATGCAGCCTAAATACGAGGATGAGCGGGATGAGGTATTCGAGGACGAAGCTGATGGGGTAGGGGGGCAGCAGCACTTAGGCTACGCGAGTCCAAGTGGTGGAAAGGGCATTGATGAGGGTTATATGTCCGGAGCCATCCCTGGCGGTGAGCACACGCCTGATCCATATTCTGCTGGCCAAAATCAAGCGTTCGACAACTTAAGCCTCGACAATGTTGAGGAAGATGATGCAGTGGCCTCACAGAGGCGTCTTCGATATGCTAGCGGCCTCTCACATGGCATGTCTCCTTCCTTTTACGATGCTGCAACAGGCAAGGGCATCGACCGTATCAAGGATCGCGATGTCGTAGCGCTCATGGATCATCTCACTGTTCGAGACGCTCATCGCAACGCCCGCGACACGGAAATTCTGGTTACTTTAGTGAGAACTGCGGCGGAGATGCGTAACCAGTGGGAAGACATGAAGAAATTTATGCAAGAACAGGATCGCATGGTCATGGCGCATACAGACCGTGTTGCTGATAAGACAGTTCAGCGCCTAATAAACGGGCCAAGGCCTTATCCTGGTGTCACCTCCAGTGCTGCGGCACAGCGCGGGCCGCGTCGTTCGGCAAGCGAGGATACAGATGACAGCGCTGCGAAGAAGAAGAACCTTTTCCGTCGCGCGTTCAAAAACTTGGGTAGCAAAAACCAAGATTTAACCAAAATTGAAAGCATGCTGATGCAGCTCCTTAATGAAGTAGAAGATCTCAAGGCTGCGCAGATAGGCGCTGCCGGCGGTGCTCAACAATTTGCGCAGGGAGACCCCCATTCTCGTTCAAACAGTATGGATTCTTACAACGAACTAAGGAATGTACCAGATCCAGGATACGAGCCTGAAGGTATGGCAGGCACGTCGAGCAGCCCTGCACAATCGGCTGGACACCTAAGTAACCCGTCTAGCAAGCATGGAGGGGCGATGCACTCCGGGTACGATGCACGGCGCAGCTCTGAGGGACATCGAATCAGCACTGTTCTGGAAGGGGACGAAGAAGATGAGGAGAATTGGACACCACAATCCGCACCTGCAAGGGGAGGGCAGTACATCAATAACGACGGCATGCTTACTCCTACACAGGAGATAAGGCGACAACGCTCAGCACCGTTGGACCAGCACGAGAGTCCAACTGCGGGAGGGGGCCTGCAAGGCTCACGAAGCGCAGAGGACACTCCAGTGAAATCCGGAGAACGGAAAAGCAAGCACAAGAGTGGAGCGAGTTGGCTTTCTGGCAAGATTGTGCCCATCTCCCGGTGGAGTAAGACAACCGCGTCCACAGTGCAGGAGAACCAAGCAAGCGGTTCGCGAAAAGATGAGAGACCTTACTCGCAGATGTCTCGCTCGGGTTCGAATGTTCACTTAGAGGCGTACGACGACTACGATCTCAACGACGATGATCGTCTCCGATCCCGCACATCACTGGACAGCCAACCAAAGAGAGGATCCATTCCCATGCCGCGTTCCGCGTCACCACTTATACCTGAAGAACGTAGGAGCATCGAAGATCCGAAGTATCAGGCGCACAGAAACTCGCTGAACTTGCAACATCCACAGCCTAGGCAAGGCCCTACACACAGACATCAGACATACCTGGAGACTCAGGCTATTGACTACGGGTACGACGGTCCTGATAGTGATTTATCTCAAGTGTCGGGTGCACAATACGATCAATGGGGTAATACGCCAGCTTTGGCTCTGAATAGGCTGAACCGTTTCAGCGGGAGCAGTGGGCAGACTACGCAAACGCCGCATAGGGAGGAGGACTTGAGTCCCGTCCAGTCAGATGCCTATAGTGAACGCTCTGCTAGCGAGCAGGCACACAACCGTCTGCCAGCACAGCAGCAGACAGCAACTCCGCCACGGCCACCAAAGATCAAGAGCGACGACGGGCCGCTTGTTCCACCCAAGGTTCCATTCGATACAAACGATGATGATCTTGGCCATAGTGCAACAATCACAAATCCAGGCGAGATTGGCTTCGGTTATCATTCGCCTTACTCGAATAGCGGTATGCACATCGCTAGCCCTCTGGAGCCGATTGAGGAGGTACGGTACTCGTTAGAGACGGATAGAAGCAGCGTTGCTAGGGGCATGAGGGACAGGGTGCGTCCATGACTCGTTGACATGAAAGCTATTTATTTCTAACAATCCCAAAGGAGGACCTAACGCCATCACCAAGGCCCACAGCGATGCAGTCCATTACCCGTAAGATCACGGGCCCCCGAGAGATGCCATTCAGTGCGCGCAAGACGAGTGGAAATACCCTTACCGTGCCACGGAAGCCCGTCGCGTCAGAGCCGCAAAGAGAGAAGAGTCCTGGTGAGTTTGCTGATGAAAAAGAGCGATGAAAAAGAAGGAAATAGATGTTTAAATGCATCTAGAGTACGTCTTCGCCCCCTCTGATGCCAGTACATTCTATTGCCATGGGGTTTTATCTTATTTTTCATAGAGACCAAGGCTAACGTATACTTGTTATGGGCAGTCCCGAGCTATGAAAGCTATCGTAGCTCGCTAGACAGTGATATTTTCTGAAACACGTCCACCACAGGAATGGAGGGGCTTTGTTGTGAAAGCTGGTGGGGCACACTAGTCGATGAAGAAGGTGGAAAGATTTAGGGATTGGAATCTTGATAAGCCGTTACGACACTCGCGGCTAAGCGAATTGATATCGGAAACATGGGAGCGATGAAGGATCGCCAATTAACGGCACGTTGGCGGCACTTGCGCGCATGTGGAGACTTGATTTGCATTTAGCGGGCGCATGCATTCTTTTCATCGTTATCTTCTCGAGAGCTTGACCGCCTGCGTTGTATCTTCTTCACCAAAGTTTTTCTCCGCGAGCGAGATGGCCGTTGGCAAGTTATACGCTGTATAGCGCTAGGGAGTGGTTGTACGTGTCTTAATGGACGAATCAGTCACGACGGTCGGGTATTGTTCCTACATCAGCAAGGAAAGGTATAGTCAGTGATTATAATAGCTATTCAACTCAATCAACGCAGTGTCAATACACGCAGCCGCTACATTGCCCGACACAATTCTCTTTTTGCCTAGTAATGCATTTGTTCTTGTCCAAGTGGCGTGATGGATCTTTTTCGATTGGAAGTATTGCCAGCATCCTAACTCCGTGTGTTTCCTCTCCCGCGATGACGAAACGGTAGCTTAGCTCAAAGACAAGCCCCTCAAAAAGCTGCTTCAATTTTCGGAATTCAGCCTTCCTTGACCCAGCCCAGAGAGACTGTGACGCGAAGAACAGAGCCACAGCTGACCAGAGTGGCCGAGCCGCTCTCATCTTTTTGCCTCTGCCTCCACCCCACAGAGAAGTCGTCCTCGGGTGCAAAGATGGGCAATGCGGGGTGGGCTCATGCTTCGCCAGGCAGAGCGCCGAGGTGACTTTTTTTTTTCGCTCTGCGGCACAAAACGCATAGTGGCATGCTATTCTCCCCGTTCCCCTTCCTCCTCCCAATTCGCGACTCTCGAGTGCAGCGAAAATGACGTGAGCCCGTCCTTTCCGAAAATCTTTCGTCTCTATCAGGCAGTTAAGGTTGGAGAGGGGAAAAAATAAGGGGGGGGGGGGGGGTTGGGGCGGAAAATAAAAGATTAGGAAGAATGCAACACGAGTTTAGCGCTTCTTTTGGGCGGGGTCGAAAACAACCAAATATATTTAATATATATACAATATATATATATATCTACAACTCGTCACCTTTTTGAACCTTTCGCCCCTTTCTTCCAAAGGTTGAGCAACAACGAGACAGATTGTGAAAGGCGTCATGGCGTCCAAAGTCAAGGCGCTCGTCAAGAACGCGCCCAACGAGCCCTTGATCACGGGCGCTCTCCTGTACGTTCTCACCAAGGGTCCGGCGAGCATCAGGGCGAGGCTTCTCGCCCCGTTCGACAGGTTCCTGCGCACGCCGTCGGGCGCCGCGCGACTGGCTTCGTTCGTCACCGCGCTCAAGGTGCTGACGGCGATTGGTGTGCTGAAGAAGGTCAGCGCAGCCTTGGATGCCCTTGCGTGGAACAACTGGTCGCTGCGGCGGCGGGGAGCGCCGTTCAAGTTTGGGCCTCTGAAGGAGGAGCTCGTCGTCATCACGGGCGGCAGCTCCGGGTTCGGTTACGAGATGGTAAAGGGCTTCTCCAAGTGCGCGAGGGTCGTCGTGCTCGACGTGCAGGACTTCCCGCCGGAGCTGGCAAGATGTGAGTTTCGCCCTTCCAAATATATATGGATGCATGGATGTGTGGAAGGACGGATGGTGGTTTTTCTTTTTCTTCTCGGCCTCGGACCAGATGAGGGCGAGGGCTTCACGAATTGGTAGCTGACGCTCGCTCGCGCTCAGTGCCGGATGTTCACTTTTACAAATGCGACGTGACGGACACGCCTGCGGTCGAGGCGCTGTGCAAGGCGATCAAGGAGGAGCACGGCGAGGCGACCGTGCTGGTCAACAACGCTGGGATTGGCATCGGCAAGACGGTGCTCGAGGTACGTTTTCCCCAACCTGTCGGTCGCAGGATTCGATCCGTGTACGTGATGACTTGAGACATGTCTATGACTAACCAAAACCAAATTGGGGAAAAAACAACAGACCACGAATGCCGAGAGTGAGAGACTGTTCAAGGTCAACCTGATCTCACACTTTGTTCTCATCCGGGAGTTCCTGCCCGGCATGCTCAAGAAGAGGAAGGGTCACATCGTAACGATCGCGTCGATGGCCTCCTTCGTCGCCGCGCCGGGCCTGCTCGACTACTGCTGCTCCAAGGTCGGCGCCCTGTACGTGTCCGAGGGCATCCGTGCCGAGTGCTTGTCGCGCTATCCGGGCGGCGAGGGCATCTGCACCACGTCCATCCACCCGTCGTGGCATCAGACCGGCATCCTCAAGGGCGCGGAAAAGGCCCTGAAGAAGTACGGCATCGTGCCGGACCCGGCCAGCAACGTCAGCGACAAGGTCATCGAGCAGGTCCTCAAGGGCCGCAGCGGGCGCATCACCGTGCCGGAGAGCGAGAAGGGCAAGATGAGCCTGCGAGAGTACCCCATGTGGGTGCAGGACATTCTGTACGGCTACGTGTGGAAGCCCAAGGGCCGCTTCCAGTTCGGCAAGGACGACGACAGTAAGTTGGTCTGAGCCGAGCCGGCGAGGCGATCGGACCCAGCTGATGTGTTGGTCCGTAGTCGACTTCAGGCAACGTCGCAATCATCGCGGCGAGCTGGTCTGAGTTGCGGCTGGGCTTGTTCTTTTGTATAGACCAGCGTACAGTCGCATCACACAGACTACTTTTTTTTTTGTTCTCCTTTTCTTCTTACTCGCTTATAAGCACGCTGCTACTGTGGGGACTTGGCTGAATTTTGCGTTAATAGAGTTCGGAACATGGACTAGGCAGATGTGAGAACAAAATTGAATGACCATCCGTCGTGCACTCATGCACTCAAGGAAAGGGTACACGCACTGTTTTTCTTCACTTCCGTTTGATAGCCCTCTCGATTGAGCCCCTCAGCGTACTTCAAACATAGAAAGGAGAGAGAAACTTACAATGAGCAAATCAGATGATATTCGTGGACGAAACGAGGCTGAATCAGATTCCGTCGCCCACTTCTCCCTCTGCGTGCGTGGAGACGAATGTCATTGATGCTATATTCGACCTCTTTCACCGAGGTCAGCATTTTTGATCTGCCCTTGAAACGTCCAGCTTTCATACAGCTCAATGTTCCACGGATCTAGCCCTTCCTGCGTCTCTGCCTGGTTGCCAAAGTCAGCCCATCGTCTTCATTCGTACGTACATAGTGCTCGGGCAGCCCGACAGTAGGCTTTTAAGCACGAGATTCAAACGTCCATGGGGGTTTGAGCTTATCATTGGCAGCGATGTGGAGTCTCGACGATTCCCTCTTGGTAAAGCGAGTTATCACGCGAGACTCGTTTTTCTGCGAGGTAGACGGCCATCTCATGTTCCTTCCATCCATATGTGACCTCATATACTTTGTGTGTGGAGTCAGCTGATGGAAGCTGAAAAGGAGGAACGTGTTCAGTGACACAAGGTCAAGTATTTACGTCTCATATTCAACGGTGAACAACACGTGTCCGTCCTTCCATAGCACGCAGATCAGTTACTCGAAGAAGCTGGATAGCTTTTTCGCAGCCTGGGGATTAGTTGAGTACATTTATGAGGGCGGACCTGGTTCGAGTCTTAGACTTTGGCGCATCGAAACGATGAGACGTTCCCGCGTCAACGCGGGATATTTCCTTCGGCTTTTTCCTGTCCGTCTTTCGAGGTTTTCGTAGCCTCGCTGCCGCCGATATCGTCCCATCCGTGTTTGGCAAGATATCTAAGCGCGGCCAGTCTGGTCGCTAAGCGTCGTTGCCTTGCTGAAGGATGATTGCCCTTGTTCTTTCCTTCGTGAATCACCGTCACATGATCGGCTTCTTCACTTACTTCGCGAATCCCATCGCTGCTCCAAGTTGCTTGGGCCGTGCAGCCGCGCCCTGCTATCTTCGGATCCGTCTTCACGAGCTCGTCGCCATCAGATTCATCGTCGAGCTCGTCGCCGGCCGAGCTCATCTCGGCGAAAATGGTTTCGCACGCCTTCTTGAATCGCAGGTATCCGCGACCGACACGGCTGGTCTTCGGGAGATGCAACGGTTCAACGATGGTCGCGGATAAGGGAACGAAGCGTTGGTTTGGAGTATGGGGACTTTTATGATGCGGCAGCATGCTTGTCCTGCTCTCTACTGAGCTCGAAATCGCAATCGCTATCTCACTTTTCCTTGAAGTTGCGGCCAGATCTTGAACGAAAAAGCGCGGGCTGTGCTCCAGAACAGGTTTTATGGTCTGTGATCACGACTCTCCACACTGAGAAACACGAGAGGTCACTCGAAGCAGCAAGAAAGAAACATTGCGGTGGCGACATGGCAAATGGGGTGCGAGACGACTGAATTAGATTTGAGAATGTCGACTTCACTCGCGTTGTGAACTTGATCGGTGCCGAGTCAATCGCGCACATTGTGTGAAGCTCATGGTGAGGTAGAGTTTGGGAGCCGAGAGCGAATGGCGGCTGCGTCACAACGGACCATGACAAACTCAGGAAGCGAGATACTGCCGATACGCTCGCAGGTTCACGTAGACCATCTTCTAGTCTATCTCTATGGTTTGTGAGGCCCCGGACAGACAAATGATTTGCGACGCCGTGTCGACACTACGTCGTGGACGTCCAGCTGTCCTGGTGACTTAGCTCTTGGTCCATGACTACTTTTTCGGGGGGAGGGGTTCTCATCCAGTTCAGTTTTGTTATCACATAAGTCAATACTCTGCATGGACTGCGACTTCGTATTGACTCGGAAGGCCGCATTTGACCAACGGACGGTAACCTGATGTCGGGCAAGCTGGCGAAAGCTTTTTAACAAGCTACCAAGCCGGTAGGCTGAAATGTGAGCACGTGATTCTCATAGCAGCATGAGGAAGGGAGTCTTCTACTGCATTGGCCATGGGACGCGCGCCTTCTGGCTCGAGGTGCGACGTGTAAAAGGAGGAAGGTCGCTGATAGGCTGGTGCAGAAGCCGTACCTAGACACTCCCGTTTGAATCTTGAGCTGCTGATTGCGTGCTCGGCTTGTTGTTGTCGGTCTCCGATGTCTCGCGACGAGGTCGGGACGAAGAGCGGCTCGTTCGGAAGTATTCGCATGGCCGGACCTGCAACTACGGCGGGGTTGAGCACACCGAATTCGTCGAGAGGCGCTTCGGCCGGCAGCAAAGAGCAGCAGGGAGCAGCGTGGAGCAGCAGGTAACAAGAAACGTTCCAGGTACCCGAGTGTTTCTTCCTGGTTGGGCAAGCAGATCCCAGATCTGGGGCGAGCCAGGTTACTTTGGGCCCAGCTAGCTTTGGTCCGGCGCTTGCAATGCAGAGCCGCTCCGTCGCACGAGAAAGGGCGCCTTACGATACGCCCGACCGACGTCCAATCACCCCCTTGGGCGCGGATGGACCAGCGCTCGGAGCGGCTGACAGGAGCAAAAGAGGCTCCCCTAGCACGTAGTAACTGGTGGAGCGTCGGATCAAAGGCAGGAACACGGACGAGCTGGACGACTGGAGCAACGCTGGCAGTTGTGGTGGCAGAGTGGAAAATTCTGAAGGCAACGAGCAGGGGCGCACGTGAAAGGCTTCGGAAGACGGCACCGCGGCCCTTGCGAACATGGGGAACCAGATGTTGTCATGACAAAGATGATTCTCATTAGACTAATACAGAGTATCCGGTGTACGGAGGATTGCGTGCAGAATGCCGGGTGGAGCAGGGCAGTGAGCTCTAGGAGGAGCAGCAGCAGCAGCAGCAGCACCACCACCACCACCACCACCACCATCATCATCATCAGCCGCGAAAAAAAGCGCGCAAATAATGGGGAGGCGAGATCAGTTAGTGGATCAGCGGCCGGGACAAAAAGATGGATGACCCATCATCCCGGCGTGCGGCTGTCGCGGGCTGGCCGCTCTCTCCGGCGGCTTGGTACGCCGAACATGGGGGTGTTTCTTGGATGGTGTTTTATCAGATTATGCTTCCTCGCCGAACAGGCTGGAGCTGCCTTTTGCAGGTGACGATGGGCGCGAGACGGAGGAGACGAGGAGATCTGAAGCGTCGAGGTCGGCTTTCAACAGCGCGCAGACGACGGGGACGAGACTTGCGTGCCATCTCCTTTGCCGCACAGTGCGTGTACCTCCGCTGCGGGTGTGTAGACAGAGTGCGTGATTTCACCCTTCTCTTTCCTCCCACCTTTTCTTTTTCTGCCCTCCAGCCGGACTCTGAATCCTTTCTCTCTCCCTCGCCCTTGTCGACGGCGCACGGCTGGCCTTGCGTGGACGCTGGGCAGACAAACCCGAATGACAAAAAGCACGCATTCTTCGTCACCAGGCACGGCGCGCCCACAGCACACCACCCGACACGCCCTCTCGCTCGCACACGCAAACCCCACGGGGATCAAGCGCACAGTAACTAGTCATTGCTGGAGTCAAGTGCAAAACCTTGGACCGTGGCCCGCGCTGGCGTCCGGCATTTTTGACTTGGGCTGGAGCCGGGAGACGGCGTGAGTTGCTGCCAACTAAGCTCGAACAAGCAAACCCGGTCGCTGTCGTCCGCAGACCGCCCCCCAGACGTCCAAAGCATAGAATCGTCCATCCGCCGGTTCTGTTTTTCTTTCTTTTTCCATGCTGAGAAAAGATAGAGAGAGAGTGTGTGTGTGAGCGCTTCGTTTTCCAACCCGCTCCGCTCGTTGTCCTCCAGACGAGAAACCGTTTTGTGACTTTCCTTTGCATTGCATCCGGCCTGGTCGCGCTTCGTTCTTTGTCTACCTTGTCCGTTGCACCCACGTCGGCTTGCTGTCGCATCTGCAGTTCATCGGAAGAGGGTACGTTACCTGGTCCACCATCTCGAACCTCGCATCGGGGGCGAACCTTTTTTTTTTTTTTTTGGTTTTGTTCTTTACGTTTCCTGCGACGCCTGCGGCATCGACGAGAACGACAACAACAAGAATCATACCCTTTCTTCTTTCTTTCCTCTTCGCATACCCTCGCTGCCCCTCTTGCACGTCTGTTGGGCCGAAGAAGTTCTGTTCTTTTGCGTTGCGCCTTGGTTGATGACTTGCGTTCTGACAAGACACCGTGTCGCAGAGAATCCGGTTTAAGAATTGAAGAACCATCCCCAGACGTACCTCACGGCCGTTGAATCCGCGCTCGAGACGTAGACGTACATTCAATATAGTTATCATCGCCAGAACCAGTCAAGGGTGATGGCCACGGTGGGCGAACAGATCAAAGAGACGCTCGTGGGCGCAACCACCGAGCCGCAGCTGTCAGAGACGAACCGCAAGGAGTTTCTGCGGCATGCGCACAGGGGCGAAGATGGCGAGCTGTACATGAACGAGCAGGAGTTCATCAATGCCATTGCCCCCGCCAGTGAAGACTACGTACGTTGCCCGTCCTCTCTCCTCTCCCCCTTCCCTTTCAAGACGAGCAAGAAAGGGTGCAGGCAAGCGGTGCATCATCCGATTTTCCGGGACGTCGCAAGCCGTAGGGCAAGGCGTGTAACGCACGTACACCCACTTCACAAATACACGCATAGACATAGGTAGATGTACAAACGTACATGTGTAAACATGTACAAGGCACAGCGCCGCATCAAACCGGAAGACCCATATGCACCCCATTCCCCTCCTGGCACAAGCACGTCGACAAGTATACACGCTTCACAGTGATGAGCTTTCGGCTGACTGAATCGACAACGCACACAGCGCAAGATAAAACGCGAGCAATACGGCATCCTGTTCAAGGTCGCCGACCGCAGACATAGAGGGCTCGTCAGCCTGTCTGACTGGAACAACTTCACGAACCTGCTGGCCAAACCCGACGCCGAGTACGAGATCGCCTTCCGTTTGTTCGACGTCAATGGCGAGGGCGTCGTCAAGTTTGATGATTTCTACAAGATCCTTGCTGCCAATCGCAGCCCAGACGCCATTCCCTTCGACTGGAACTCGGCATGGGCGTCGCTGTACACCGGTGGCAGGAAGAGACGGCACGACCTTACCTATCCGCAGTTTTCTCAGATGCTCCGCGGACTGCAGGGCGAGCGCGTGCGCCAGGCCTTCGAGCACTTTGACAAGAACGGCGACGGCTACATCGAGCCGGAGGAATTCCAGCGCATCATCCTCGAGACGGCTGGTCACAAGCTGTCCGACCATCTGCTCAGCAACCTGCCGACCCTGTGCAACATCTCCGCCGGCTCCAAGATCTCGTACGCCAACGTGCGCGCCTTCCAGAACATGATCCGCGAGATGGACATGTTCGAGATGATCGTCAAGAACGCGACCGCAAAGTCCGCCGACGGCCGCATCACGCGCACCGACTTCCTGAACGAGGCCGCCCGCGTCACCCGTTTCTCCAACATCACCCCCATGGAGGCCGACATTCTCTTCCACTTCGCCGGCATGGACGAGCCCTCGGGTCGGCTGGGTATCCAGGACTTCGCCAAGGTCCTCGACGCGTCGTGGTCCAACACCTCGGACCTGCTCGGCGAACAGGCTGGCGAGATCGCGTCCAAGGCGTTTGCCAAGTCGCGCAGCGTGCTGCACGACGTGCTCGAGTCCGTCCACCACTTCGCGCTCGGCTCCATCGCCGGCGCTTTCGGCGCCTTCATGGTCTACCCCATCGATCTGGTCAAGACGCGCATGCAGAACCAGCGGAGCAGCCGCGTCGGCGAGCGCCTGTACAACAACTCGATCGACTGCGCCCGCAAGGTGCTCAAGAACGAGGGCGTGCGTGGCCTTTACTCCGGCGTGATGCCCCAGATGGTCGGCGTCGCGCCCGAGAAGGCCATCAAGCTTACCGTCAACGACCTCGTCAGAGGCAAGCTGATGGACAAGAAGACCGGCAACATCTGGATCGGCTGGGAGATTCTGGCCGGTGGGGCGGCCGGCGGTTGTCAAGTTGTACGTTCTCGTGTCTTCCTTTTTCTTTTGCCCTTTGCTCTCTCCCTTTTCTGTCCAATACTGACCACCCGCGTCGCAGATCTTCACCAACCCCCTCGAAATCGTCAAGATCCGTCTGCAAGTGCAGGGCGAGATCCAAAAGTCGGCGACGGAAAGTGCTCCACCCAAGCGCTCCGCGCTGTGGATCGTACGCAACCTGGGCTTGGTCGGGTTGTACAAAGGCGCGTCGGCGTGTCTGCTGCGCGACATCCCCTTCAGCGCCATCTACTTCCCCGCCTACGCCCACCTGAAGAAGGACTTCTTCGGCGAGTCGCCCCAGAAGAAGCTCGGCGTCGTGCAGCTCCTGCTCGCCGGAGCCATCGCCGGCATGCCCGCGGCGTACATGACCACGCCGGCCGACGTCATCAAGACCCGTCTGCAGGTCGAGGCGCGCAAGGGCGAGCAGACGTACAAGGGCCTGGCCGACTGCGCCCGCAAGATCTGGGCCCAGGAGGGCTTCCGCGCCTTCTTCAAGGGCGGCCCCGCCCGCATCATGCGTTCCTCGCCCCAGTTCGGCTTCACCCTCGCCGGCTACGAGGTCCTGCAGACCTTGCTCCCCCTGCCCGGCTCGTCCCACGGCGTCCAGCCGGCAGGCCACACCGAGCCCGCCATCGGGCTGACGGAGGCCACCGCGCCGCTGCCGTACCTGCGCAGCCGCAACGCGCTCAAGATCATCCTCGACCTGGACGAGAACTTTGGCCGCGTCAGGGTCCCAGAGGGCGTGAACAAGCTGCCGGCCATCCTCGGCGGCGGGCGAACGACGACGGCAGCCAAAGCTTGATTCCTCTCCTTCTTTTTTGCTTCAGCTTGTCGTTTACCCGACTCGTTTGCAGGCTCCTCCTCCTCCTCCTCTTCTTCTTCTTCTTTTCTGAATATCTGTTTTTTTCTTGTTTGCATCGCATGGGGAAATCTTGCATGGCGATCAAAAGGAGTTTCTAGGCGGGCGAACGTCTTTCTTATACACCGGCCAGGAGGGAGTGAGGAAGCGGGGGACCATCCCTCCACCTTCTTTTCGCCCCCCCTTTTCTTTTTTTTCCCCTTTAATTTGAGCCTTTTGCTTCCCCTACCTTGCCCCTCTTTTCTTTCGGTTTGCAGTCAGAGACGTCTCTGGATTGCTACGGCGCGAGGCTAGGGGAGGGGGCCCCGCAATAATCCAACATGTGCTGGGGAAGATTTCGAGACGACGAAACTATCGGCGCGGACACCTGGGCGAGTTTTGCCAGCTCCGGGAGCATATTTTGGATCCCGACCGCGGTCGGGAGACGAGTAAAGAGAGAGAGGGGGGGAAAGAGGGACGTAAAGAGGGTCAAGTTCTGGCTGAGCGGAAAGACGGAGGTGGGATGTGTAGAAAGGCGGGCTCGGACGTGCAGCAATGTTTTTTTTATTATTCACTTTCATCCTAGCATATAGAGCCTAGATCCTCTGAAAGACGGAGGGAGGTGGGGAGAACGGGACTTTGTAGGATAGAATCGTCCTTTTGTCGATTGCAAAATAGAGCACCCTGGTAATCTACGCATTTCACCGCCGGTGTTATGTGCAACCATTCGTTGCACCTGAGAGCGAGACGCAATCATACGACCTTACGGCCACGCTCATGCCCACTCCGACTCCGATATCCGCTCGCCTTTTTGACTCTGAGAGGAAAGCGCGGTGCGAACGACTCGTCGTTCAATGACGCCTAGCAGCTTTATGGAGGTTCATCATCGGTGCCGTGGAGGCGAACGCGCGTGGCGGGATGAAGAAGAAGGAGGGGTTTTGTCTCGAAAAGTGAGTGAGTACGTACAAGAAATTCAATTGCAAATAAAACGTGAAAAAAAAAAAATCAGAAGTGTCATGACCGAAGACGCTCTGCTTTATTCTGCGCGCTGTTTCAAACTGCGGCGAATGGATTAAGTATGAGTTAGGTGCGCGGAGTGCCTCTGTGAGAAAGGGGGGGAAGCGCGATTCACCTTGAAATTCATTTTTCTTCTTCGTCTTTCTTTCTCCCCACGGCATGACTTTGTTCTTCACAGACCAGACTTTGTTTCGCGACGCGGCGCCGCCTGGCCTGCCCAGTCGGTATTGATCGCGACCAGTTGCCCCGGAGGCAGCGTCGCGTCAGCAAGCCAGCGCCTCCGCGAAACTGATGCCGAGCTCCTCCACGGTCTTGGTGTCGACCTCGTTCGTCGAGCGCGTGGCCACCGTGACGGCGCCCTTGACGGTCTTGGTCTCGCCCAGATCCTCCATGATCACCAGGCTGACCACCTTCTGCCTGCCGCTTTCGCTCGTCGTCGGTGTGGTTCGGGCGCCGTCTTGATAGAACGCTCGCGTCTCCACCGTCTTTCCGGAGATGCGCCTCGCGAGTTCGTGGCTCGCGTCTTCCTGGCCGTCGGGATCGGAGCTTGTCGGCTGCGGTATCACGACCTTATAGCCGGTTGCGTCGGGTATCACCTGCTGGACTGCGAGTAGTATTGGATCCGCGGTCGGCGATCTCAGAAAGTAGTCTGGCACGCTGGCTGGAAAGGGTGGGGAAACCATGGTCAGTCGCTGCTTTGAATTTGGTCAGATTCGAGACCGTGTCAGCACGTACCGAACGAAGCGCCACTCGAAGCACTGGTTGCCGGGCTCGTTGGAGGTGTGATGAAATCCTGCGCACCCTCTTTTCTCTCTTCTCGAGACCTCAGCTTCGCTTTTATTCTCTCACGCAACGCTATGAGCAACATCCAACCGCCATGCTTGTTGATTGTCCTTTCGAATCCAGAACGTGGGTCCAGTATCACACGTCTCATGAACATGAAGTATGTACGAAGCAGCGCTATGAGAACCGCCCATCGCAGTTGCCGGCGCACGGCGGGAATGGCTGTAAGTAGAAATTTCTGGGAGCGACGAGATATCAGCTTTGCAGATCGGATGTACAGGACCTGCAAAGCACGCGTTGAGATGAACGGTTTGGCGAGAGGTGTGCGAAGGAGAGCGAGAAGTTCGTATGGAAGCAGGCTTGTGGTCGACTTGGGCATTTTGCGGAGTCCCTCGTGGTAACGGCCAGGCTCTTCCTCAACTCTCCCCAAAGAAATAACAAGGTCAATGCTTTTGTGCTACTCAAACTTAATGGATACGAGAAGCGGAAGTGAGATCAACTCGCGCAAGGCAGCGTAGATGGAAAAAAGATGAAGTCGGGAAATCACGCGAAGATCATAGCGGCAACACCGCGGACGCTTGCCCACGCGGGGTCAACTCACTATTTTTCAAATAGCTAGATGCCCGAAGTGCATGAATAGATACTGCAGAGAGTAGACGCCATAAGGATCGTAGGCATGGATGTGAATACCTGAAACACGAACCTGAATGACTCGAGCCAATCAAACTTCGGAAAAGCCCGAATAGTCAGCGGAGTTTGTATGCCCAATTTCAATATATCAAGACAGCGTGCAAGAGATCGCTGCATCCGCTGGAAGCGGCAAAGTTCTAGAATGCACAGATAGGAGTCTTCGAAAGAGTTGACTGACTTATGTATATGTTGCTGAGGGTTCTTGCTGATCATGTGATTGAACCACCAAAAGCGCATCGTCCTCCGATTGCAATATATTTAATTGACCATGCAATGGCTCAGATAGGGCTTGCCTCCGTTTCCTTCGTGCATTCATACTCAACCATAGAATCTTGCCTGGGACTGAATATTGAATTCTCGGGACAGTGCCCAACGTCTCTTCGCACGTCTCGAATGGGATTTGTGCCTTTCCTGGAAAGTCTAATGGCTCAGAAACTTTGAGATAAGTAGTTACGATAAAATAAAACTTTAGGATGTGCAGCCTCTTAGATCCAAAAACGGTGTCTTATCGATAGTCACAGCGATCACGCACGATATGCCACAATCCACATCTCAGGCCCAGATTCGCGGGACAGAGAGCAAGAAAATAGGGATGTACGGCTTGAGAACATCCTACCATTGGATCTAAATCAATCGCTTGAGCGGCTTATTGATTGTTTCAATTGTGGTCGTCCTCGTAAGGAAAGATGGGAGTGAAAGAACTGACGCAGAGCGTCATGCTAAAATTGACCAGCTCCAGTTTGCACGGGTTTAGAGCACATACTCCAGGCTAATTTGAGCAAGCGCTTTGGTGGAGCTCCACGTAGATGAGACCGTGGCTGCCAAGGATTGGCCCGATGTCATTTTTCCGAGTCTTGTGCTGTCCATGTTCTCGTGGTAACAGCATGAGCGAGGTATGAATTTGGCGCAGTATTTGCTCTGCTGTAAGGAGACATATTTTTTTGAGAAAAAGATATGGTCAACGCATACTTTCGAAATGCCGCCTCGGATGCAAAGCCGAGGGGTTTCCCTGGCTGGGAATCGCTCGAGGCGCTATCGCGACTTGGTGGGGGAATGCTGTGTACAAACTCGACAGTTAAGCTCCGTATAGTTGCAGGGCCGTCGTTCCTGGAGCGTAAAATCTTGAGCCATCGGAAAAATGACAAAGGCTGTCACGAAGGTTCCAGAGGTGAAGTTGCAACCTCAGCTTGGGTCTGCGCCTCGTTGCTCGCTGCAACGTTTCTACGGGTTAAAACGGGGAAATAGGGACCAGGAGTGCGAGATGATTCATGCTGAGTGGGAGCCTGCAAAGCTGTTCGAGTCGTCAAAGATCCATTCTCACTGCTAGCCTGGCATTTTGTAGGCTGATTTGGCATGCCGCAAAAGCATTGTACAGATCCGACTCGATGACAATGTTAACGTTCTGAGTTTGAGTGGTGATGATAACGAAATGACTGCGGGTTCTGTGCACCGTCAGGTCTGTATGAATATTTGAACGGAGAGATGCATTCAAGACGCTACGTTTAGCCAGCAGAGTGTGGTTGAATGCTTGCTAGGAAATGTGAAAACCGGGCGAGAGGACGATAACGTCACATGATTTTCGACCGGAAGCTGAGCACGGGCCAATCGTAGCGAACGTCGTCACTTGGTCGCCAGCATGGCAAGCAACCCCGGCCGTCGACTGTTGAACAACTCGATTCTTCAGCAAGTCTTTCCGCACAATGCGGGATCTCTTAATTGATTATTACACTCAAACGTGGCCAGCAGGTGTTCCCTCCACTGGGCTCTTAGATAATTGATTTCGTCGCACATCTCGCGGACATGGCATCGGCGCTCGACGACGACGAGCTCGCGTTGAGCATCTCGAGCACCAATGTACGGCGCCATGCGCAACAGTCTCGGCCGCCTCAGTCGGAGAACGGGCGCAAGCGACAAGAAGAGAATGAGCCAATGTCTCGGCAGCGTGAACGTGATCGTGACATGCACATTTCCCGCCCGGGCGCTAGGCTGGGTCAGTACAAGATTGTGAAGACGCTGGGTGAGGGCTCTTTTGGCAAAGTCAAATTGGCCATCCATGAGGTCACAGGCGAGAAGGTCGCTCTCAAGATCATAAATAGGAGGAAATTGGTTACAAGAGACATGGCGGGACGGATCGAGCGCGAGATCCAGTATCTGCAGCTCTTGCGGCACCCTCATATCATCAAACTGTAAGTAGAGGCAGAGGCGTGATTCTCTTTAAATTTTCCTCTCTCAAAGCGGCAAGCTGACATGCGCAGATACACGGTCATCACGACACCTACAGAGATCGTCATGGTTCTTGAATATGCAGGAGGTCCGCCACCAGAGCGTAACCCCAGTACTGGCAGTGGATCAGACTCTGATCACCAGGTTTCAGGAGAGTTGTTCGACTATATTGTCCAGAAAGGCAGAACTTCCGAAGAACAAGCACGACGCTTCTTCCAACAGATCGTTTGTGCCGTCGAGTACTGTCATAGGCACAAGATTGTGCATCGTGACCTCAAGCCGGAGAATCTCCTACTAGATGAGTACGACACCGTACCAGATGTTGAACCGACTCAGTCGCTAATCTCATCTGTAGCAAATTGAACGTCAAGATTGCGGACTTTGGTCTCAGCAACATCATGACTGATGGTAACTTCCTCAAAACCAGTTGTGGCAGCCCCAATTACGCAGCACCGGAGGTCATCTCAGGCAAGCTATACGCGGGCCCTGAAGTCGACGTTTGGAGCTGCGGCGTCATCCTCTATGTTCTTCTTTGCGGCAGACTACCCTTTGATGATGACTACATCCCTGCACTATTCAAGAAGATAGCTCAAGGTGCTTTCCAGATTCCAAATTATCTATCACCAGGCGCCGTGCGCCTCATCAAACGCATGCTTGTTGTTAGCCCGGTGCAGAGGATCACTATCTCCGAAATTCGCATGGACGAGTGGTTCAATGTCGATCTTGCCCCTTATCTCCAGCTACCACCCGAAGAGTTCTTCGACACCGGTGTCGACCCAAACAAACCTATCGATCCTCGGAATCTTGCCCCGTCCAAGGATCCGGCGGTGGCAGAGAAGCTTCACGACAATGTCGTCAGCAAACTTGGAGCTACCATGGGCTATGCAAAGACTGATGTTGTGGATGCCTTGTCCAAAGAAGAGCCCAGTGCAATCAAAGACGCGTATCTAATTGTGCGCGAGAACCAAATTATGAAATCGAATCGTAGGTCACGCTTTTCACCATGCTCAATAGCTGAGCTAACCACACACAGCTTTGCTTGCTCAAGAGGAGTCACTGCAACCTTTCCTTGCCACTTCTCCTCCGACTCACACATCGCAGCTCGGTTCAACTCCTCAGACTGGCTCTCGGGCACCATCAAAGCCAGCGGCGTCATCACTTGCACGAACAAGTGCAGGAAATGCGCAGAATATCCCGGATCGTCCGCACCGCGGCTCAACATCCAGCACACAAACGCAGGTGGAGCTGAAAAGTCCCGCAACTACGGTATCTGTTCTGCCATCGTCCTTGCCGCAGTATCATAGGGCTTACATGAGCGGGCATCCGACATCTTCCATTGACAGTCAGGCCGGTCTGGATCCTCCTGCGCCTGCAAGGTCGGCCGAGGACAAGGCCGCTGCGGCCAGACGGCTTAAGCCGCATTCACGAAGCAGCCAAATACAACTCGAGAAGCTCAATAAACCGGAGGCACTGACTCCGATGCCTTCGCAGAAGAAGAACAGACCGACTAAATGGCAATTCGGCATCCGAAGCAGAAATGCTCCCGCAGAAGCGATGCTGGCGATTTACAAGGCGCTACGCGCCATGGGTGCTGAGTGGGAAGTACCTCCAATTCGCAAACCCGGAAAACGGAGCAGGAGCCATAGCAGGTCTAGATCATCTTCAGGATCAAGAACGCCTGACGATCACTGGAGCGATGAAGAAGCAGATGTAGATCAGCATCACCGAGACTCACCGCATGGAGGCGGAAGAAGGTCTCTGCGTGTACGCAATTCGCGCGATGGCCATATGGAGATCGGGAGAGGCCGCAAGCGTGATCAACTTGGCCCTCACAATGACTGGGGATACATGGTGCCCGAGGATCCATGGATCATTCATGCACGCTTCAGGCGGTCTGGAATGTTCCCACCTGGCGTGACTCAACCGGCAAGCGCTCATTCTTCCACAGCGGATCTTTCCACAATGGCAGGATCAACCGCAGAGCAAAATCCCGCAACTGCAGGGAACAGCGCCCACACCGGTCCACCAAGTGGCAGCGGGTCCAACAGCTCGCAGCAAGTCAGCCGGGAAGGCTCAATAACTGGTCAGCCTAGCGCCGAGGATCTCGGAGCCACGACCAGTATGCTTCACAACAAATACACAAGTCCAGATGAGAGCGTCTATGTGTACATTACCATTCAATTGTATTCCATTGAGCGTGATACGTTCCTCGTGGACTTCAAATCTTCTGGCTATGAGAATCTAGAGCGTCGCTTCGTCAAAGAAGTTCGCGTTCAGGGTCATGCTGTGGCGGATGCAGCTGTCCAAGGCGACAAGCAGCAGGTTGGGTGGAGGAGACTTGGACCTGGAGAGCAGGTTGAAGGCGTGGAAGGATTGGAAGTTCGAGAGGTAGAGGAGTTTGTACAGATGGGAAGGGCCACAACAGAGAAGAGGGCGACCAGTCCTTTTCCGTTCCTGGATGTGGCCAGTGGACTTATCATACAGCTTGCGGAGGGTGGAGAGTAGGCTTCTATGTTCTGCGGGAGGCGGCTCCTTTCATTTCTAAATGTAACGGGTAGGCGGGCTGCAAAGCCGGACACCGTGATATAACACTTCACCGACAGCCTATGTGACATATGGCAGAGTAGATCTTGTATGATTTATGAACAGACATATGATCGAAGCAAGTCGTCGTTTGTTTCCTTCCACAATGAATGGATTTGAATCATGTAGGTTGTCCCAAGATACGAAGGCGCACGTGATTTGAAGTGGGCAGCCTGATGTGATATGAAACACCCCACCCACAAGTCTGCGTCAACGCATTTGAACAGCTGATCAAAAATACTTTGATTTAGGGTTGGAAAAATTGAGATTGAACGTACGATATCGTTGAGAACGTAAGATACCTGTACCTTATCGGTATTGAGAAGTGCCTGTTAAAAACAGCCTAGTCTAGGCCGCTCGCCATGAAGCATCAACGTATCGAGGAACTTGGCGAAGACGACGGCATGGCAGAGTTGAGGGCGCGAGTACATGAAATCAACCGGCGCTTCAACACACACGAAGAGCGAGGGGCAGCGCTGCGATCGCTCATGATGTCGAGGCCGAAGCAAGCGCCGTCTGCGTCTTCAGCCTGGTCCTCCGACACAAGGCCGAGGCCCTCGAAAACGGCTGCAGTCGAGCCAAGACTGGAGGCACTTCCAGTAGAGCTGGTCGAGAGCATCGTGCTGCATCTCGATCTTCTGGACTTCGGTCGCTTCCGGCAGGCCTGCTCGGCGCTCCAGCAGAAGAGCCTCCCGTTCTTCACCAAGGCGTTCTTCACCACGCGCACAGTGAGGCTTAACTGGCCGAGCATGCGGCACCTGGCTCTGTTGCAGATGCAGGCACACCTGGGCACGGCGATCAAAGACCTGATCGTCCTCGTGGAGGAGGAGGGTCGCTTCTGCGCATCGGTCAGCCGCACGGCCATGCCGCTTCTGCGCCGGACGAGAGACTTCGCGTGCGAGGCTCCGTACGACGCCAACCGGCTCAGACAGATCGAGACGATGCTGGACCGCATCTTCGAGAGGCTTCGCTCGCCGCTGCGCTCTTTGACCGTCCGGGTCACCGGGTCGCCGCGCGGAGCGAGCGGAGGGCGCGGGCGCATGTCGAACATGGCGCTTTCGGTCATCTTCAGCGCCCTTGCTTCGAGTGGCGTGAAGGTGCTGAAGCTTTCCGTTGGCGGCCGGAGCGCGGACGGCGCAATCAGCTCCGTCTACGCGGACACGTCGCTTGACGGCTGCGAGCCGCTCGACGCCGCGCTGCTAAGAGAGTCGGCGCGTCTCGGACGAGTGCTGGACAGGTTAACCGTCCTGGAGCTGTGCTGGTCTCCTATCCACCGGTTTGGATTCGCAGACCTTGCGGACGCGGGCGAGCAAGGCTCTCCCACCGGGTTCCCCAACTCGCTGCTGAGGCTGGCCCCGAACCTGGAGAAGCTCGTTCTTCGAGGCGGTCAGGAGGGACGCGGCGGCGCGGGGCACCGCGGATCTGTCCCGAGTCTCGAAAGACTCGTCGTGCCCTTGCCGAAGCTGCAGGCGTTGGACCTGTTCACCCCCGCGTTCTTAGTCGAGGGTGGGCATCTGCAGATCTTGAGGCAGTTCAAGAGGAGGTGCTGCAACCGTCTCGAGGACGTTGTCCTGCGTGGATTAACTGGCGTGGACGCTTCTGAGGTAGAGTCTGCGAGGCAGATGGTAAGAGACGCGCTTGGGCTCCTACGTGCGGAGATTCAACTTGATCCGTCGGCGAACGTGGACGATGGAAGCGAAGACGGCGACGTCGAGATGTGACGGTAGGCACGGAGAGGGCACCGGTGCGGGGCGGACAACGAAAGAGCAAAGGGAAAGCAGACGCTTAATCTTCTTTTTTTTTTTTTTTTTTTTTTTTTGTTCACTGAGGGCGTTGATACGTGGTGGAAGAAGACGTACGGTAGCTATGGAGAATGCCAGGACACGATTTTATAACGGTATTTGTGTCTTACTTTTCACGTCGGACAGATAGCCAGGACGAATGACGACCTCGAGAAACAAACTCCATTCTAGTCCCTCTATCCCTCCCAAGCGACTGCGTACACGTCCACTGACCTAGAGGCTCGTCGTCGTTTCGCATGCCAGAGAGTTACGGTCGCCAGCGCCAAAGCGGCACTTGCTTTGCAAGAAACGTACCTTCTAGAGACCCCATCGAGAAGCCGTGCATCACGCGCCGCGTTCGGTAGACATAGTCAAAGCAGTAAACGCCCATGTTCGGACTTTCAAGAATCGAAAACGCAAACCGCCCGAGTCTGATCCGGCACGGCGCAATGCTAGAACGTGTGGTCGCACAGTTCGAACATGTGTATACGCAGTAAGTGAAGGACGTGGACATGTTTCGCTGACTTCGTGTCTTTTCTTGGCGTTCCTTCCATCTTTCGTTTCCACACTTTCTTTGCAGACCAGCCATGTTGAAACGCATCAGGCTGTATTGGAGTCGGCGTAAGGGACACCGCGATGATATGTGAAGTAAGCGGATCGTTCATAGGCCTCGCTGCATCAGAGTGTAGCTGGGACTCCATCCTGTTCCTCAAGGACGTTTTGACGAAGTAACTCAGTTCTTAGGAGACGTAGTCTCGTAGCACACCATCTTCTGAGAGCAGCGCACGATTTAAAGTCTAGACATTTGTAAAACGGCAAGCCGTCGAGTCCACTTGTTTTGTTGTTCCGCGTTTGCCTATATGATCATCCTTTTTTTTGCTTCCCGGTCGCAAGCTTTCAACATGCGATATGTCTTGGCGCGGCGGCAGCGGGTAACCGCGCAAAGGCGTTTCGATTCGCAAATGCCTTGACACGCACCATTCGAGCGCAGACGGCGAACCCGTGACTTCAGGCGTCCGCAAGCTCGTCGAAGATGCTTTTCTGCTGGCTCGCGCGCCGTCTGCAGGCCTGCAACCTTGCACGATCACAACGCCTTGCGCATTCCTCACCCGCACACATGACAACCGATGGCCGGCTTCACCAAGAGCGACGACTCCGGCGACAGCGACTACTCTCCCTGCAAGGACCGGCGCAAGAGGCTCAAAGCGGCGGCTTTGTCCAGGAAGAAAAAGACTGCTGGCGCGAGTAAGCTCACCGGGCCACCTCCAGCATCGCGAGATCCGACTAACGTGAACGCATCCCGGACAGACGCGCTGCCGACGCCAGATTTGACACCTACCGATCCCACGTTCGCGGCGCAGTTCGCGGCGTACGAGAAGCTGCTGCTGCATCCCGAGGCGACGCAGTGGGCGCCACTGCGCCCGGCCTCGTCCACGGCGCCAGAGCAGGCAAGCCAGGTGCCGCCATCTGGAGTTCGCACGGCGTGCGAGCCTGAGCCTGCGACGACGAAGATGCCGACGTTCCAGCTCAACGGCACGCTTCGCTTCGAGGACGAGGTTCTTGACGCCCTGTTGAGATTCAGCCGACGTGGTCCGCGGGGCCATTGCTCTAGGGATACCGCCGACATCTGGTGAGTTCTCCGCCGTCTGCGTCCGTAGGAAATCCAGTCCCTTTGCACTGCCTTTTCTTTTTTTTATGTCCGTCGCAGTCCAGATCCCCCTTCCGCCCCGCGCCCCAACCCCCAAGCATTGGTCGTTTTTGTGACGGAGGCAAAATCTGGCCTCAGGTGCGAGAAGAGAAGGAAGTCAACGCCCATCCACTCCGTCACATCCTCGACGCCTCCAGACCGCCACCGAGTCACGACTACGTGAAGCGCTCGGGACTGACTTGTCTGACCATCGTAAAAGGATCTACGTGCTGCGGCTCTTCTTCCCGGCAGAGGAGGACTACGAAATCACGGTGAGCAACTACGCCGAGCAGGCCGGGACTGATTTCCCATGCGGCCCGGCCACCACCAGCTCGGAGGGGGGCGAGGACGCGGACGAGATACCGAGCGGGACCGCGGTCACCGTGCAGCTGTGGAAGCTCAGCGGGCGCTTGGATGCGGCGTATGGCGCGTGGACAATCACGAGTCAGACGCCGGTCCTGACGGTCGTGTGCGCCGCCTGCGAGGCCGTGTTCGCCGAGTATCCCGCGGTGCGACACGCGCGAGACGGCAGCGCCAGCACGATGGACGTGCTCGCGTCGACGCCGCTGCAGACGTGCCTGCACGCGCAGCTGGGCGCGCTGCTGCGCCAGCACGAGGAGTCGGTCGCGCAGGGCCGCAACATGGCGCCGCGCGTGAAGAGCGTCAACGGGGCGGTGGCGTGCGGCACGATGGTACGCTTCTACAAGCTCAAGACCGGCAACGAGGGAAGCGGCTGGTTAAGGGCCTGGAGCGCGAGAGGGCTCGACCTGGTCAACGGCGTGCCGAGCGAGGCGCTGGGCTGCGTGGAGCGCATCCTCCTGCGGATCAAACGCGCAGGGCGGAAAGGCATGACGGCGAAGATGTGATGTAACGACTTCTACTCGACTACCAGTTCAGCACGGTGCTTCACCGTCGTGGAGCTGATGAAAACGACATGTGGTGGCGCGAAGACCGCGCCGTCGCGAGCCCAGAATCTAGATGCACGCCGACATGGGCAAATCTCGACAGGCGACGATGATAACGAGGATGATATCGATAGCGATGGGCTCATGAATCAAGGGCACCGGATTCAATGGACAAGCAGATACAAAGTATCGGCGATGACGATGGAGAAGGCGATCTTGCACTGAAACGGGCATTGGTAGCGGTTGCAACGGGCAGCCAGATCGAGGATCATCACCATGGGTAGCTTCCCTCATCGACTCTTCTCGCGGCTGCATCCGCATTTGGTAGTCCATGCATCATGTGTTGTTCCTGTCTTCCTGTCTTGTCACCGTTTTTGTGCATCATGCAAAGTGAAGATTCCTGCCGTCACCTAGCGGCATGTGGTCAGAGGTGACGTACGCAATGTGAAGTTTCTGGAGTGCAAGCACCAACCGATTGACACGTGCCACGTCGCTTTGCCAGACATGAGACACAAAACGACTGAGGGCAACATGAAGATGCGCGCACTATTGTAAGGCTGCATGATTGGACCACGCTGCAGACGACACGCCCTCCTTAGTTTGTCCTCTTTGGTCACGCAGTCGTGGTGAAGCGCACGACGGCAAGGCAGGAAAAAGGGCGAGCAGACACTCGCGCCCAGACAGCGAGAGGGAGATGCGAAAAAGGAGTCCGGAGGTCGTCGGATCTAGCCTTGGCAGCGGACACCAGGGCGCTGGCGAGTGTCAGCCTCAGAAATTGCGTTCCCCACCCACGGCGCCATTCCCGGCGCAGGCATGGTTTCGTCTCCAGTGGTAAGGCTACGACGAGCGAAACACGAGAGAGACGATGGGGCCAAAGGCGGTGATGAAAGTGGCCATGATTACGAGACGAAGGGCAACAGAGCAAAGAGTCACCGACGGTCCCATCGCTCCGGCCGCGCCAGTGACGGTGTCAACGACGCAAAAAAAAAGGAGATAGAAGGGAAAAAAACCCTCTCGCGGGCCGAGATTTGCGTTTCTGCTTTCGTTTTGACCGTCTCAAGAGCTGGGCATCGGGCTTGTCGACCTGACACACGTTGTGTTTGTCGGAAGGTCAAGTTTCCATGAGCCACGCCCTACGCATCTTGCTGGCTCGACACCGGGCCGAGGGAGGGCAACGGGGACGACTGAGGAAGGATTTCACAGTGGACCGGTAGAAACGCGGGCGTGGTGATGGACGGGCTGTGGCAGAGGAGGGGACTCGGTTTCCGGACGCGCACTCTCGCTTCTTCGCTGCTGGCTGGCAGGGGCTTTGGCAGTCCAAATCGGACGGAGAGTCCAACTTCGCGTGGTGACAATCTTGGTTGGGGCACGTTTTCCTCATCAAGAACGACGTCGAGGGTGTCGGCGATGCGAGAAACAAGAGCGGACGAGCCTTGCGAGGCAAGCAAGATTGGAATAATTGTAGCAGCATTAGCCGCAGCCGCAGCAGCAGCAGCAGCACCGTAAGCGGTGGTAAGCGGCAACGACAGTGGTCGTGAGGGCACAGAACCAAGCCGGCGGGAGTGCCTTTACCAGCGCCTACCGGATTTGTGCGTGGCTGGAACAAGAAGTAGGCTGTGCAGCTAGTGTGCGAACAGATCACAGAGACGACGTTCCCAATTTGCCCGGTATTCAGCGCGACCAGTTCTACAGTGGTTCTGTTGACTTACATACTCCGGTACGTATGGAGCGACGTATTGCTCTCACCGTACTAACTCTACAGTGCCCATACGAGCGTGTTCCATTCTCGCCGTCTTCTGTCTTAGCCATTGCCTAGGAGCACCTCCTACAAGTACACACGCCGGAGACGGACAAAGGAACCTCGCACATAACTGGCAAGGCCGCGTTATGACCGCCGTCATTGGGCGAGGGTGTCATCACGTCCAGAACGGGCCGTCGTCTGCTTGGTTGATTGGCCACGACGGCAACGCTACCCCATGCCCCTTGTGCGCGTCCCCTGTCCACCCAGAGCCGTTTTCTGTGGACGCTCTGCACAGCCTACAAGCCTACGCTCAGCTGGGCCTTTCGTATTCATCATTATATTATAATTGCTCTGCTCCTGGCACGGATCGAAATTGCTGCACCGTTGTGGGGAAGGCGTGTGGTTTTTCTTGTGCTGGACCTAGCGAGGCAGACACGAGAAGAATTGGCATCAGACGAGAACAGATGCTGATCCACTTGGGCGCGGAAAGGCTGAAGGAAAAGAGGAAATTGGGACGAAGAAACCATCGAGGCGCTGGCATTCTCGGATCGCACTTTGTTTTAGGCACGCGCGATGTCGACCTGTTCGTTCTGTGCCGTCGTTTTCTCCGCCTCGCAAACCGAGTACTGCCTACGGAGTGCTCGACTACGTTGGTACTGTAATGAATACGGCTGTGACGCAATTGTCGATTGAGAGCAAGCGCCCCATCTTCAGCCTCTGTGCACACCCACACGCTCGCTTTGCACATGAACTTGGTGTTTCTTTTTGTCAGTGTCTGCGCGATTCGTTTTTGCTCTTTGTCTCCTGCACTGCTTCACCTTCGCATTAGCCACCCCTCGTCCGCATAGGAAACACAACGAGAAACCCCGTTTCATTGAATCGGTCAGGGTTCGACAACATCCGTTTCATCGTCGAGACGGCAGGTCTCGGAGGCAGAAAGGCAGACACGCCAAGACAGAGACAATCACCGTCGTCACGCCCAAGAACAAAGAACGATGGTTAAAAAAAAAGGATTAAGACCGAAAAGGAGAAAAAAACAAAAACGACAGCGACATTCGAGGGAACACGTTCGGGGACTAGCGCAACGAGGTCTGGCCGTGGGGATTTGTTGCGTCGCGTCGAGGTTTGGGATCTTTGCCAAGGGCGAGTGCTGGTGGACATCCCGTCCTAACCAAGCACCCACTTGCTGCGTGCCGGCTCCCTACTGCCTTCCCGCCCTGCTCGCTCCCTGCCTCCTGCCTCTTGCTCACTTGCTGCAGCCCCAGTCGCGCCTTCTACCTGGACCGCCGGACCCCATCACCCGCCCCTACCCACTGCGGACGCAGGCAGTCACGACCGCGCTAACGGCACTACTCGCCCTCCCACCGCCGTGCCTTCGCTCGTTCTTGCTTGCGTAACTTTCGCCGCTGCGTGACTTCCAAGCGTGGTAGTGCGCTGGCCATCCCCCAGACGTCGCTCCCAAAAAAAACAAGGCCGATCTTCATCCCGGCCACGAATCCCGCCCGAACCTCTCACGCTCGACCTTTCCTTCTCTTCGCCCCCCCAAAACACCGAACCCTCTCACTTCTCTTGCGCTCATACACTTCGCACCACCTCCGTCCCTCCCAACCACCCCCCCACCCCTTACACACCTACGTTCGCTTGCCTTTTCTCTCTCTCTCGCTTTCTTTCGCCCGTCCTCTTCCTCTCTCCTCTGCAGCAGCTCTTCCGCTAATTTCAATCGCCGTGCCGGTCACGACGCCCGAACGAGACACCCTTCTTACAGTCGCTGGTTTGGGCGCTTCCCGGCTCGTGGAGCTTTGGCAGTGGTCTCCTGAACGCACTTGGCGGTCCACCACTCCCAACTCCGCAACACGCAACCACCACCAACAAGACCAGACGGTCCTGCCTCCATCACCGCGTTCCACGCTTGAGAACCTTCTTTTCCACGATCAGATCTCCACGGTAGCTACCGCGTGGAGTCGTCGTCTGCGACCTCGCCGTCGCTTCCACGCACGGCACAACACAAGGACGCTCTGTCCTGTCGTACATACAGACACCCCTTACCATGCGTCGCTCGTTAGTGGTGTCGCCCTTCGCGGCGCTGCTTGCCCTCCTCCTGCCTTCGCTCGTCTCCGCCATTCGCATGTTCGAGTCCAACTCGCTGCAGACGTGCATGAAGAACTCGTCCTTCTCCGCTACGCTGTTCCATGTCGTGTTCACCCCAGACAATGGCTCACTCCAGTTCGACATCAATGGTATCTCCCAGATCTCTTCCAACGTCATTCTCCAGCTCGAGGTTTTCGGATATGGCTACGAGATCTACCACAACACGATCGATCCGTGCTCTGATTCGACTTTCAAGGGCCTCTGTCCTATGAATGCTGCCCCCATCACTCTCACCAGTAACGCCGAGATTCCACAGGACACGGTCAACAAGATCCCGAACGCCGTCTACTACATCCCCGATCTCGATGGCAAGGTCCAGGTCTGGATCAACGACACCAGCGGCAACGCCCTTGCCTGCGTTGAGGCTGAGTTGAGCAACGGCAAGACCGTCTACCAGAAGGGCGTCGCTTGGACTGTCGCCATCATCGCCGGCCTCGGCCTCGTAATTTCTGCCGTCGTGTCGGGCCTGGGTCATTCCAACACGGCAGCCCACGTTGCGTCCAATGCAATGTCGCTGTTCTCCTACTTCCAAGCCCAGGCCTTCATCGGCATGACTGCCGTCGAGATGCCTCCTATCGCCCGTGCCTGGACCCAGAATTTCCAGTGGAGCATGGGTATTATCCGCGTTGGCTTCCTGCAGACCATGGCCACGTGGTACCAGCGCGCTACCGGCGGCACTCCCTCAACGTACCTATCGACGCTGGGCACCACGTCTGTCTCCGTGGAGAAGAAGAAGCGGTCTCTCGAGACCGCCTTAACCGCCGCTTACCACATAGGCAAGCGCAGTTTCAACTGGCTCGCCAAGCGGACAAACGCCCAGTTAACCAACTCGGAGAACCTGCAAGTTGTGACGGTGCGTGGCATCGAACGCGTGGGTTTCGTGGCCAGGATCGAAATCACCAACATCTTCTTCACTGGTTATGTCTTCTTCGTCATCTTTGTCATTTTCGTTATCATCGGTGTCGTTGCCTTCAAGTACATTTGCGAGGGCCTCGTCAGGGCTGGAAAGATGAAGCCCGACAAGTTTACCGACTTCCGCAACGGCTGGAAGCTAGTTCTCAAGGGTATCCTGTATCGCGTCGTGCTCATTGGCTTCCCTCAGATGGTCGTGCTCTGCTTCTGGGAACTAACCAAGCGTGACTCGGCCGCCGAGGTCGTTCTTGCCATCTGCACAATCATCACCATGCTTGTCATCCTCGGCTGGGCCGCCGTCAAGGTATGGCGCATCGCACAGCGCTCTATCAAGATGCACAAGAACCCGGCGTACATCCTGTATTCGGACCCGAAGGCCCTGAACAAGTGGGGTTTCTTGTACGTGCAGTTCAAGGCCACCATGTACTACTTCATCATCGTCGTTCTGGGCTACATCTTGATCAAGGGCATGTTCGTCGCGTTCGGTCAGTCCAGCGCCGTTGCGCAGGCTGTAGGTATCTTGATCCTCGACATTGCCCTCCTGATTGCCGTGTCTGTTATGAGGCCGTACATGGACAAGAAGACGAACGCATTCAACATTTCAATTGCCGCAATCAACTTCTTCAATGCTCTGCTTCTGCTGTTCTTTAGCCAGGTTTTCAACCTTCCGGTACGTCGATTCCGTGTAGAACCCGTCTCCCCCTTTACTTGGACATTCTACATGATGACCTGCTATCAAAACAAAAGCGAAAAGAAAGATACTAACATGAAAGAAAACATTAGGCCCTCGCTATCGGTGTCATGGGCGTCCTTTTCTTCGTTGTCAACTGTGTTTTCGCCATTGTTATCCTCTTGATGGTCATCTGGGCGTCCGTATGGGCCCTTGTCTCCAAAAATCCAGACACCCGCTATCAGCCCATGCGCGACGACCGCGGCTCTTTCATCAAGTCGCAAACCAACCTGGGCACCACGGAGCTTGACGCCTTGGGAGCCACTGCACGCGGCGACGGCACGCACGGTTTTGGCGCCGAGCGTAAGCGCATGGACCTCGACGATGACGTCGAGGGCTCTTCTACGGAGGGCACATTCGTCAACTCGAACACACCATCACAAACGAATATTCCCAAGCACGACGGCGGTGCTGCAGCTGACTACTACGGCAACCCACCGCATAGTCCCGTTGCTCCGCCAAGTGCTCCTATGCTGAGAGGATCCGCGTCGGGTCCGTACAGCAATGACCGACCGCTGAGCAACCGGTCTTTCGGACCAGCGGGGCAGCAATTCCGGGCGCAAAATAACGCGTCACCCAACCCATGGCAGAGGGGTGTTGGATACTAGAGTGGAAAGAAAGAACTTGGAGAATAAAAGAAACATGTACAGCTTTTCTTTCCTCGTACATCAGCCTATTTACGGTCAGAAAGTTTTGATGTCCCCGTCATGTAACCATCTGCGTCCGCACGCTTGCATTTATGTGCAATTGGACTCATTTTTGTCTCTTTAGAGCGGAGTCAGGAAGCTGCTGCCAGCTTACAGCTTTTACTGCATTGTATGGTGGGAAAGCAAATCACTCCTTGGCGTTTTCTGTTTTTTTTGTACCTAGGATCTGAGATGGACGGATGGTTTTTTTTTTCAATGCATAGTCAGGGAGAGAGGAAGGAAGCAAGTAAGCTCTTGAGTAATCTGGGGGGAACGGCTTTCTCGCGGCAAGTGAGAAGCAGCTTTTCCGGAAATGGGAGATATTCATGTACATATCAACCATACGGAGGACCGAGTTGCCAAATGGAAAAAAAAAGACAGAGACACCTGGACCTCTTTATGTCCTGATCAGCGCTTTCTCAATATCCGTGGGCTGGCTTGGACACGGCGATACATGCCCACCCCAGCCCGAGACACTCATCCTCAACAATGAGCCAATGTCTTCGACACAGGCTAAACAGGAACGTGTGTTACTATTTCGGTGAGAAATGCATCCAACGAAATCTGCGTTCTGATTCCGATAATGATGAATAGCAGACGAGGTTTGTTGATACTCGTTGGAGAATACGTAGGGCATTTGTAGCCTGCTTACTGTGCATATGCATTGAACTGTGAAGATCTCAGACTCTTGTATTTCATGCTGATCCTCCACCAGCGGCAAAGAGGTGGGGGCGAAGCGTTCAGCGAACATCCAATAACTTACCGAAGGCACTCAAGAGGCGATATCCGTCGCAGGACATTTGACACATAGTGTCTGCTGAATTCGCCTTCAATCTGCGACATTTCAGACAGACTTGATTTGCCCAATGGGCTTTGCAAAGGCCCTGCTTCGTCACACCGTTTCCTATCCGCAATCCCAAGTCCTGGTTACTTCATCTTTCCACTTCGCAGCAGGGACGATCTCGCAACAAGGCGCTGACGTCAGTCAGAGCAAGCGCTCTGGGATTCACAGACGACCTCGTCGCGTCCTGACAACCTTTGGGATGTGAAGGCGATTCAGCAAGTGCTTGGCTTTTTTCACCTACCGGGGCCGCTTTTGAGGTCAGCTACTTGAGTGTCTAGTTGAGCGAGCGTTTGTAAAGCCTGGGATATGCACTGTGGTCATCGTTATACCTGCCGTACGTCGTGCCAGGAACTGGGCACATCCGGAGAGTACGGACGAGGTTTGGTGACGATATCAGAGTCCTTGCAGAAGCTGCGTTTCGAGCTTTGGCGATCGACGGCCGTTGCAAGGACTCTCGTTCGCGGACCAGACTTGATGGTAGGTAAGAAAGTAGATCATCGAGGCAGTAGCTCTATGACGCGAGTACGCGCGACAAAAATTTTTGGGGCTATCTTTCAACGATATCATACACGGACATGGCCTTTGTCGGCTTCCCACGCTCACCGCGAATTTTCTTGTCCACTTCAGCTCCTGGACCCCGAGCTTTTATATTTCGACGGAGACAGGTGATGTTAAAAAAATGATTGCCTCTTATGCACTGTCAAGTTGTGACGGCGTTACGAGAACATAAGATGGCATCCAAAAGCTTACCAGCTCTGCTTTGTCTGCTCATGTTGCTCGCCAGCCTTGCGTCCAGCACTCCAGTCGCCGCTCCCAGGCCGGCACAAACCCAAGACGCACCAGGGCAAGGCCTGACGTGGGAAGTAGAAGGGGATGCGCCCGGCACGATTGCATGCGAGATCGATCGCACGTCAGACTACTACGGACTTGGGGTGCGGATGGGCGTCTTCGCAGCGTGGATGACGAGCTGGATCGCGAACGTCGCAGTGCAGGATGAGATCTCCGGAGCGCTCGACACAAACGCCATCTTCCTCTTCGCGCTCGTCATCGCCATCGTCCGCTGCACCATCACCAACCTGGTCAGCAGGATCGATGGCCTGATGCTCATGCATCTCAGCCTCGGCACCGTCTTCGCCAAAGTGCGCGTAAGTCGTAAACATGTCTCCTGTGTCGTGCAAATCGCGGACAGACCAGACCTGCCGGCTGGGTGGCGCCGAAGGCGGCAGAAACTGCGCTTACAACTCTTCTCAGGTGAATTCAGGCATCCGAATTGCCTCCTTGGTGCTGTTCGTCGCCTGCATGGGCTATTACGGTGTCATGGTGCTCGCCAGCGTTCTTGGCCCGCTCATGCGGCTCTTCAAGATGCGCTTTCTCCTCCGACACCACTTCTTCCGCACCAGCTCCCGTCTCCGATACGCGACCGGCTTAACATACGGCCAGTAAGCAAAGCCCGCCTCTTCCTGTGCAAAGTTTCTACTTTCCCTTTTCTCTCATCTTGGCTTTGGCGCTCCGCTAACGCGTCTTTGTCACAAGGCTGAAGATGAGCTTCTGGGTCTCATCGACGTTCAACCTTTTCTGGGTCATATTCACAATCGTCAGCTGCGAATACACGCTCATGTACAACCATATCCAGTCCGTTCTGGGAGAAAACGGACGTATCTTCTTCCCTTCGCAGCTGATCCCGTTTGCGATCGGCATTTGCGGTCTGATCCGAGTCCTGTATCTATTCTTTGAGGATTGGCGCTCCGTCGACCACTCGCCGAGCTTGGGACACACGCCCAGCATGCCGAAACGCGTTCTCACGATGCCTCGTGGTAAGGACCTGCTCGAGATTCTCGCGCCAGCGACTCAGCCTCAGGAAGGAACAGTGCCCGCTGAGGTGGTTAAGCACAAAAGACCGCATTTCGAGGAAAACGAACTGGACGAAGAAATAGTGGGAAAGCCTCTTTGGTGGGGGCTAATGGTTTCGTATCTGCCCTGGCTTCAACCCGTCGCGATGTGGTAGCAGCAGCGAAACGAAGCAGCAGCAGTAACAACGGGTTCCCACTCCGCACCTGATGGAAAATCGAGCGACGAGACAAAACCAAGCAACGATCTTGAACAAGGTGACAGTGGGGATGGACAGCAGGAAGATTTTGGGGGCATTGAGCTCACGACTAGTGTGAGCCCAAATAGAAGACCGAGAAACCTAGAGCATCCGCCAAAAGGATGGCTTTTTGAGCGCGATTGATTCGTGTAACATTTTCTCTCTTTGTTCTCACTGTTATATCAGAAAAATTCCAGGAATCATACAAGCCATGACGTAGGAGCAATGATAACGACCATTTTCTCAATGTTCACAGCAACCTGAGGGCCAAAAGGCTTGTCTGCATCTCATTCTCTTGATTCAGATCTCGAATCTACTGCTGTTTGAAAGAAGGGGGAACATCGTTTCGTGGGGCGCCTGGGGTTTGTTGCCGGTCATGTTGCAGCTGTTTGGCCTTTGGCTTATCTCTCCCATCCATATTTTCAAGCATCGACTTGTAACAAACATGGTTTCCTAGGCGTACAAAACCTTCCCTATAGAACGCTGCGTCTTGCCCAGCGGCCACAATCGCTTCAACTCGAGAGGTTCCCATGAGCTCTTCGAGCGTGTCCACGGCCTGCACGCCGAACAAGTGCCTGGTGGGTGTTGCCGGCACTGGCATCTCGCATGGCATTGGGCCGAGTGCTCGCTGCGGTCCAAGACCACCACCATTCCCTTCTCGACCGCGTCCCGGATCAGGCGCGCCCAGCAAAAATCCAAGACGGCGTCCAGGTCGCCCGGGAACAGCTCGTCGACGAGGTCCCAGTCTCGCACCTGTGCTCTCATGAATCCGCACTCCCGCATCTGCTTCCTCAGCACCTGCCTGCGTGCGTCCCGTTTCTGCGCGTCGCTCCAGCCGTCCAGCGGCCAGACCGGTCCGTATCTGGCGAGGCACGTGCTGTTGTAGACGGCGAAGGCGACGTTGTTGGCTCCCAACACGTCGAGCAGGATCTCCTGTCGGATTTCGGGCGGCAAAACGCTCAGCGGAGAGAGCTCCCTCGGTTCGTGGCCAAGCTTCGGCGCCTCGATGTGCGACGCCGGTCTTTGCTTTCGTTTCCGCGCGCATGGTAGCAGGTACAGCAGGAACCCCATCGTCGACCCCAACAGTCCGGTTGCACAGGACTCCGTTTACTTCTCTCAACGTCTTTACATTCTCTCTCCGTTCTCATACGCGTGCGTCTTAAATAATCCACCACGCGACATGCCACGTATGGGATGTCCATTTAAGGTTGGCAGATTTAGGCACCGGTGGAAAAAGGCGAACTTCACGACGCGAACAGTGCTCAGTCGATGTCGACGGCAGAAAGCCAAGATGTCAACTTGGTCTAAAGAGAAATCAAAGGGATGAAAAAAAAGAGGGAAAAAAAAAAAAGAAAAGGCAGTGTGTTTCGAGGGACGTAATCAAACTCTGGATTCTGCAGGGGGTATCGTAACATCTTCATCTGGAAGTGATCTGTAGTTCTTTTTCGCTTTTCTTTTTTCAAGATGAATGCAAAAAATGCAGTGACAGCGCTGGAAGGCGTCGAGAATACTCTCATCATGAACAGATGTCTTCGACAAGTGATCTCTTTTTGTTTCTAGCGAAAGAGATGTGTTCTTAATATGGTCACGCAGTATAACCATACTTGCGGTCCTCGTTGCCTGTCTCCTCCGAATACCTCGTGTAGTTCTCGTGCTGCTTGTATGCGGTGGGAGGTGTCAGCTCCAGCTCGTCGCTCTTCGTACTGTTGTTGTCGGGCACTTTGTTCCGACCGGTATACGAGACCGAGACGGTCGTCTTCGAAACGATCTTTTGTGGAGTCTGTCCGCTGCTGAACTTGCCGTACGAGTTGTTGCTTCCGTCTCCCGAGCTCGGATATGAGTGCTTGACTGTCGTGCCGAATACCCTCGGCACGGCTCGTCGCAAGAGATTGGCCATGCCCGGCATGCAAGCGCAGATGACACCGGTCGTGATCTCGATGAGGGACCAGATGGCAAGATTGGTGTAGTCGTACGTTGGATTTACAGACTTGCCCCATTTGAGAATGGTTCCCAAACGAACGATGCTGCAAGCGGTCACGCTGGGAAGGTTTTGTCAGCGAAACGCATACCACGAAGTCAAAAGAAGTCAAATGCTTACAAGATACCGACCGCGAACATGGATGCGACGGCAATCTTCTTCTTAATGTGCATCTGAAGGCCCCACAGCTGCGGTATGGGGAGGATGAAGATGATAATGTCCAGCGTCATGTTTATGCCAGCCAGAGAGTAGGTTTGCGCATTGATGTCAACGCACGTCGCCTTATGCTGGCCGTCCCACCCCAACCACACGTAGTCAATTGGTCGACAGTACAGACCGGTTGACACGATGCACGAGATGCCGAAGCAAGCGACGATGGTGATCAAGATTCCGCACTGCCATTTGAACTGTTTGCTAGTGAAGATGCGTAGGTAGAGGAGCAAGATTGATATCTTGGTGAAAACAACAAGGAAGGTGTAAAGAAATTCCTCAATGAAGAAGTACTGCGCACGTGAACCATTAGCACATGCGAGCCACGTCCTGCATGCATCTTTGAACTCACAAACAACACATTGTTGATTTCATGCTGCGTAAGCTCCCAAATGTCGCGGCCCAAGCCGTTGTTCACCATAAGCTGCGCAATAACACAGCAAGGAGTTAAGGCCAGCTAGATCGTCTGTTAGCCGCCCGTACGATCGGCTGGCGCGCGTACGCAAACATACTAGACACAGCACAATGGTGTAGTCGTCCCACGAGTACTCGCCTCCAAACCAGGGCATGCGACCGAGCAGTCGCAGGAACACGGCCAGCACGGCGAGCGAGTAGAAAGACCAGGTGATGGATGTGGTTCGGTGCGTGATGTTGCGCACCGAAGCGCCGCACGTCGACTTGACAAACTTCTGCGTCTGGAGCTGCTCGACGACGGTGCAAGTAGGCTGCAGGCACGCCAAGATGGCGTCGTTGAGGGCGACATTGTTGCAAATGCAGCCAAAGTCCGTCAGCGCACACGTCGACTTAGGCACTTCCTGTACGATGCAGTTGAACTGTGGTCGGTCAGCGCGCGCCGTTGATACGATAAGGTCGGGGGCAGAGCTCAATAGCATACAGCGCATGACGGTAGGTTATTTTGAAGCTCCTGTAGTAACGCAGCTATGTCTGTCGAGTTCTGCGCATCGACAAGCGAGACGAAGCCCGTGAAGAGCAGGATCAAGTTGAGTGGACTGCACTTCATCTTGATCGCGCTGTCTCAGATCTGGATGGAGCAGATTCGTGTCTTCCCCAGATTTTCCAGTGGAGCGGGACTGTCTTAATTTTTTTTTCTTTCTTTTCTCTTCCCCCTTTAGAGGAAACAGCATCCGCTGATTGCGCCTTTGGCCAAGCTGTGTGGGGATGGAACTGCGACCTGAAGTGGTATAAATGAATGTGTATCTCCTGGGCGGTTCGTCGGACCGTCGAAGCAGCCAACTCCCTCCATCGACAGTTTCTGGGACCCTTGAATAACGCCAGTTAAAACAAATGCGAGCACGCGTTGATCTGCTCATCCGGGGACCTAGGCCCCGGAGAACAGCCAACATCGAACCCAACGTGGGACCATCTGAACGGGTAAAGTCGACATCGTCCATCAGGTGAAGATCCACATTCAAGCCAGGCTGGTCGAGCTGATCCAATCACTGGCTTCGTCGTTGACTCGCTACCTTGTAAAGCTCCAGCGATTCTGCGTTCCTGACTCTGTTCATGGTTCATCGTAGGAAGCGCCCCAAGTCGAAAGTCCTGTAGCCGAAAGCGGATGGCGTGGCCGTTTTGTTGCCCGCAATGTCCAGGCTATCTGGTTAAAAAGCCGTTTCATACGGCTGCAAGTGACCGGTTGCTGGCGGTTATGTAAGAATCCTTTGCCTTGAAAGATGCAGATTTGTGAAACGTCGCTTACGAGCCAGGTTAGCCGTTGACCTGTGGGGCATTCGATCTCCATTGGCCAACCTGCTATCCGAGCACTATCAGACCGATGTTCCGGGATCTGTTCCTTTATGCTGGGAATGAAAAAAAAAAAAGTCCAGAGGCCTCGAACATTGTTTCAATTGAATCCTCGTCTATGCGGGGAAATTCAGCCTTTCCATAGCCGTCTCCAAACTCCCCGGACATGCTCGGGGCACTTATGCAATTTCAGAAAAAAGTCGTGCACAAAGCTACAACGGGCACCGCGAGTCATTTTACCTCGCGCCACCAGCGGGTCTTCTCAAAATCAGGAGACGCGGACAACGTTAGTAGACAATAGTTGACGATTCCAAGTGAGATGAGGCTCAGACTATGCCAGCCGCCTCATCGTTGTGCCTTTTCCGGGCCCTTCTGCAAGACTACTACGCAGCACGACAACGAAAAGATAAAGGCCAAGAGATGTACCATTCTCTTCGGGCAGCGGTAGGCGTCTGTAACAGAGAAGCCACCTCCGGCCACCAATGATTGACAGCCGTTAGCATGTCAAGGGCATATGCGGCTTGGTGCATATCAGATTGATACGTGATCATATCGTACAAATCTAGCTGAAAATTTTTACACCTCCAGCCCCATAGGTACAAGGATACACGCATTTTAACGGAGCTAGACTCGCCGTTCTCAGCGCAGATTGCCTCTCCAGCCCAGGTCGCGAACTGCCTAAAATGCAGAAGCATGCAGTCACCTGCCCAGTGGAAGGATCGAAACAGGTGCGAAGGATGCATGTGTATTTTCCTCACTTTAGCTCAACCTCCGAGGGCATCGGCTCGGTATTTCCGTAACAGCTACCATGGTCGTTCGGGTACGCAATTTCACAAAGGCTACTGCAGAAGAAGAATGTGCCCCAGTGCCTGGTTATCATTGCACATGAGACTTGGTTTGCTCGCGTACATGAATCAGACTGGCAAGTGAGCAGCCTGAACACTAGAATAGCCGGATTATCGCAGTAGCTCCGTGACTCGTACCCTCAGCCACGCCGCGAATGCAGCAGCCCAATGCATGTCAGACCGGTCATGACAAAACGCCAGTAACGCCTGGTAACGCGCTAGTATATCTGCTCCGGAGGCCAGCTGATATTTGGCAAGATCAACAGGACACAAATATGGAGGTTGTCGAGCATCCTCGCAAATGTTCGCCGTACCTTGCATCAAACACGCGTAGTATACACAGTGATCCATGTTCAGACAATGCCCCACCTCGTGAGCTGCAGTTTTGCATACCCGACCTAGCCACAGACCCTCAAGGGCAGTTCGTGAAGGAGCGTAGAGAAGGGAAGGCAGTGCGGAGTATGCTGAGACAGCTTCCTGCAATGCAGAAGGGTTAGGTGTGGAGGTTTGAGCGATCGCCGGCTGTTTTGCACACGACTGCTTCCTGTCGATGTCTTTACACGAGTCAACCACATACGCAGAGCAGTGAGATGCTGGCCACGCGTGGTCTCTTTCGACACCTTGCCAATCGTCCAGCAGCGGGTGATATCGAGCGGTGGACACCACAGCAACTCGACTGCCACCATATGCCCTACCGCAGCAAAAATCATCGTCCTCATCCTCGTACATGTCGTGCTCTACCAGCAACAAAACAGCGTAAGCGTCTGCCGGCACGGACTCAATGCACGCGTCCAAAAGGTCGGATAAGTTCAACTGTCGCGTGAAACAGCCATCGAGAGAGGCTCGCGTGCGAACGCGGACCACGGAATTTTGAGTTTCTAGGGCTACAGCTTCGCGCTGATCCTTTCTTTGTGGCCGATCGCTGGTCTCCCAATTTGTAAAGCGCCACGGTTGATCCATCTCCCGCACGGACATCCCATAGAAAAACGCTGTAAAGTAATCTCTAACATCGTCGATCCGAGGGTGAGCAAGCGGGACCGGTTTACGATCTTTTTTGCTTTTCTTGGAGCGCGATGCGGTAGCAGTGCTTGGAATGTCGGGTCTGCTCCAAGCCCTCATGCACTCGACCTCATCAGATATTGCAGGCGGCGCCACGACGTAGATCGTGTTGCGCTTAGCCGTAACCTCATTCCGGTACTCCCCTCGGACCCATGATCTCACGCTCTGAGCAGGATACTTGCCATCCAAGGCCAGCTCGTCTTCTGGTAGAATCAGCGGGGCCGGAAATGTCGATGCCGCGACGTAAAACTCGTCCAAGTTTTGCGGAGCGCGGCCAGAAGTCTGCGTTGCAGCTATTCTACGAGCCTCGTCCGCCCGTTTGTAGTTCGTGTTGAAAACATGGGGCGAACTTTCTAAGCGAAGCTCAGAATGAAGACAACGGCTGGCCATTGCGGAGCGAGGCGAACATGCTCGGTTCTTCACATTGCACAAGGACAGGGACAGAAGTTTATAGACGCTGCTGCCTAAGAGAGACGGCTTAGCCTGAATAGAGTTTTGAGCCGTGGACTGCAGACTAAAGATCCGGCGGCGATCACATAGGTGTCTTGTTTGAACAGGATGCGCCGGTCCAGGAATCTTTCCACGTATTTGTGAATAGGTGTGGACGTTATGTGATGCACAAAAGCACGATGTAGAAGCGATGGATCAGTCGCTTTTGTCATCTGTGCGTTCGATTAGGACATGGCGGCATAATGATTGATAGTAACTGGCAATTGTATCCACACAGAGAAGTGGGAGACACTCGAATATGAAGCCCCGGTAGCCCCATTTTGACTATTGCTGCCTAGTTTTCGCCTATATTATGACTATTGCAGAATCTAGTCACCGGATGTAGAGCATCACCGCATAACAGAACGCAGGCCAGCAAACGCGACCTGCCGATGCCGGAGAGTGACCAATACGATTGGATGGCACCATCCTCTCCATGATCAATGAGAGACTCCTCAGACTATGAACTATTTTTGTTGCTTAGAATTTGGAGGATCTCGCCCTCGTCGATGTAGGTTGTCTCATGGCAGAGGCTCACCGTCCCCTTTTCGATCTGAATCCAGTCCTCCTGACCTTTGACCGCTTTGCCGTCCCAATCAGGATCCGCAACCAACTTCTTCAAGCACTCCATGCTTGGGAACCAGTATTGAATAACGATGTCGGCCTCGCTGACGTTCCACGTTGGGTGCACAGAGTGCAGCATTGGTTCAAAGGCTGCGGCAAGCTCGGGATTCCGCCTCTCCTTTAACGGGTCGCGTCAGGTTGTCGAGCCTCTTACAGGAGCACTCCAGCGATGTCTACATACCACGGCGTATTTGACGAACCCGTACTTCCTCATTAACGGTAGTGCTGCAGCTAGGTGCACCTCCGTGAAGAACTTCTCGAAATCCTCTGCTGAAACCCCCTCCTTGCGGAAGTGCTCGACCCTGTACTTGATTAAGTTCGACGTGGCCATCACACGGATTGCTTTGGCGTTGGTTAAGATCCTCTCACGTAGTCTTCGGTAATGTGGAACCTCGTCTTTTATACTGAGCCCAATGAAAATCTGCGGTTCTATCAGTGAGCCATTCTCGAGAGCCTCCTTACACAGTTCAGGCAGCGGCCAATTTCTGATGTCAGCAAACAAGGATCCTTCTCAGTTGATCCTTTTATAGGGGACATTAGCTTTCCCTGTGCCGCTCATCCGAAGCAATCATTCCTATTTAAATCGCACTTCGAAACGATCTGCATTCGAGAGAGCTTAGTGCTGATAAGGCACCATTTCATTCCCCAGGGTGATCGTGACCGCAGCATTTCGCAACAGCTTCACGATCCTGATCATCATCGCAAGCTAATTTACCGACTAGAACAACGGAGCCGTGCGTTTCAGGGTCTAAATTATCGTCTTACCCTTAAATGCAAGAGTTACCGACGCAAACAATTCTGCTAAGGTTGCGCCAAAAAAAATAAGTGAGGCTTTTGCTTTGATAGACAACACTACGAGCGTTTGAAGTATGATACATATTCAATTCGTCAACGTAATTCGATTGCATGAACAAAACTTTCAACACGCACTAGCGACAAGAGGATGCTCTGTGGGACGACTCATCGTGCCTTGTTTGGTGAATTAGCTAGCACAGGAATGAAAATAATGGAGCAGATTCATGTCTAGCAATCCATGAGCTCAAGAATCATTTCCCGGATCATTTTTTTTTGATCGAGCAAGGCATGTATATACACGTGTGTGTGTATGTATGTGTGTATGTACGTGCTTTTTGGGAGATACCATGTCTTTAAAGCATTCTAGTTTCCCATGCCGAACCGAGAGAAAATAGTCAAGATTCAATTCTTTTTATTATGAATAGTCTCCCAGGCCAACACACATGCAGTTGAAGTATATGTTACTGCTACACCCCTGCTAGAAGGGTTTGTGGTCAGCAAGTTTCCAATTTTCCCCCTTGACGGAGATACCAGCTTATGTCAATGGCAAGACTTGCTGGAAAGGGCGACGTTAACGAGAGAGTGGATCAACATAAGAGCGTAGCTGGTTTTGGAATCTGGAGTCAAAGAACTTTTTGCAAATTCGAAGCCTACTTCGGTATAGTGAACGTGATTTCATCGAATTCAGCCCTAGGTAAATCTCTGTCCGAATCGTATTTTATACTGTTTTTGTGATTTTTTTTTTAATTCCGTGCGTCTGAGAAGGTGAGTAGATGAGGTCATCAATCCCCCCCCCTAAATCCCAAGGAAACCCCTAGGGTTTATAATGGGTATATCCTTTTTCCTTGCAAAGAAACTCGTATCAGATCAGGACATTTCTATTGCTATTTGGTCCCTACAATTTTTCCGGTCATGGAGACACCGAAAATGGGAACCCAGCTTTTAATCTCCTCATCACTGTTTCGAGATCAGTAAAAGTAAAAGCAAGGATAGAAATCTTATCCAAGAATCCTTGCAGTGGCAGAAACACTTACATCTCTTTTGCTCCTTCGGAGTTCAATGCAATGTTAGGACATTCAGCATCCCTCCATTTCATTAGCAGCTGCCCATAGTATGGTTGCTTCTTGTCACCAAAGGCGCCAAACTGTATGACTTGGTAGCCGAGCAAGCCATATTCGTTCCAACGATCCATGGCCAACGGCATGTGTTTGTTGATCATACGTTCCATGTCAAACTCTTCGCCGTCCTTCACAGGATACATCGTCACGGTGTAGAATGGAGCAGGAGCCGGGCATCCAAAGTTTCCTCTCAGGTCCATTCTCAACAGATCCTTCTCAATAATTTCGTGGCGTTTGGATTCTAGTTCATCCACGTCCCAATTAGCGGACATGTAGCGACCACTCAAGAACTGAGCCTGCGGCGATGCTAGATATACTGCAGTGGCCGCAGCTAGTTCGACTACGGCGTTGGAAAATTCAAAGTTAGCTTGAGAGGCACTCAAAATGCACCTATTTAGGAAACAAGTTGTCTAGCTTACCAGTATCTTCACAAAATGGGAGGACTTCTGGATGAGCATAGGCTAAGTCAGTTTTGACCATGCCTGGATGGTAGCTCATGCAGTGAGCCCTGGGATAAGCCGATGGTATTGTCTCCAGCAACCTATGCATGGATAACTTGCTGATTGCATAGCTTGGAGCAACTTGTCCGGTCGTCAACATGCCCCACGTATTTACATTAATGATGGTCACATCTCGGTGTTGCCCCACCACCCTAAGCACGGCTCGTATAACTAGATAACCTCCCTTCAGATTGACTTCCTGATAGGCCGGAGAGCTCTTAGCAAACTTGAACCACTGGATATAGACATTTCGAAACAGCTTACAAAATCTTTCCACCAGTGTTGTGGAATGCTATTGCCAAGGGGCTCAATCGATAACCACGACCCTGCGGCGTTAACCAATATATCAGGGGTGCCAAAGCAAGATCTAAGGACTTCTTCCAAGCGATCAACACTGTCTTCAGACGTGATTTCAGCCGCTAGCTCAGTTACGTCGACACTTGGATTCATCTTCTTAAGTTCCGCTGCCGTGACTTGCAAGCTGTTCACGTCTCTCCCGACCAGGAGCATGCGGGAGACATCTGCTTTCACGAAAGCTTGAGCGATTGCCTAGTTATGGATCAAATTAGCAACAGGAATAATAGCCAATGCAGCCGGTATGCTTAACCTTGCCAATACCTCGTCCTGCGCCGATGACTACTATCTTTTTTCCTCTTTGTGACAACTTTGGCGATGAAGGATCTATAGAAGGATAAATATCACGGTGGGTAGTATCAGTGAACTGATGGATTTTGATGAAATGATCAGAGGGCAAGGCGAGGTTAGCGTTCGTTGCCATGTTGCTGGAGTTTTGTAATGTATCGAATGTAGAAGAAGTACGATATTGAGAAGCCTCAGCGCTTCGGAGTTTGGATCGACTTTCGGGAGCATTGGAACTCTCTTTATATACATGGCCTTAACAATCCACAACAACAATTGTTCCGAATAGTTCTGTCCGGCAAGTAGCTGCTATGGCACAGGAATGGTCCGACACGGATTCAAAGGCTGGAAGCCTTGAGGTAGTTACTTCAAAGGGTAAACGGGTTCAAAAAATATCCGCGTTTGGTTAAATAAGCGAGAAATTGTGGCGCCTCTCATTGGCTCTTCGCCTTCCGCGCTGAACTTAGCGGGAATGCGCTGACGTTATGCCGAGTGGTTTCGAAGGTCTTCGCATACCAACGACTGCATAAATAGTAGTACACTGTTCGATTCACCGTGACCCTGTTAAGATGTCTAGAGGTTGCGCTTAGTCCAATACGAGTGCAGATAGACAGATGGCAACGGAGTCTTCACGGTTTATCTTTTTCCGTAGCCAACCAGTCTCCGGCGCGAAGCTTGACGACCCCGTCGATTGCTTGTTTAGAGACGGTGACGTCCTGTGGCCCGGATCGAAAAGGAGAGGTCGACCGCGAAAAAATCCACCAAATGCTTCCTTTCAGGCGGCGCAGGCTCTTGCAGCACCTAGTTACGCTTTTGTTGATTGTTCAGACACGTTCAAGCCTACCAACCCTGCAAAGCGGAGGTTCATACGAACTCACGTCATGCGTTATTACCAGCACAGAAAAGTCGGATGCCTTATTGGAAACGATAGCGGTTGTCGGTCCTCTACACAGACAAACGCTGAAAATGCTGTTTTTCCGTCGAGCTTGCCCAGATTGCTGTCTTGGGAACCCTTCGACTGCTTTCCTTTGAAAATGCAACCATACATGCACGATCTGTTTTACCAGTGTCAGTAAATCCAGCAATGCCTCATAAGCCTAGCGTCTCTCAAGCATTAGTGGCAGGAGACTGATTTTATTCAACTCGACTGATTTTTTTTTTGTGTAGACGTCTACATTGCGTCAAGCTATTTGTACTCGCTAGAAGCGCGTTGGGGCTTCAATCCCACCCAAAAGGTCTGGATCCCCATGGCCTTGGCAGATCCAATCCTGCTAAGCGCTATTTTATTATCTTGTGAGCAATTTTTAAACAGAATCAAAGCCGCTGGGGTCAATCAATTCACCATAAGTCATTTGACACAAACGATCCGTGCTCTTAATGGAAGACTTGAATCATCGCAAAGACCTAACGATACAACCATTGCTGCTGTAGCTGGCCTGGCACTATTAGAAGTATGGCGAGATTAACGTACCAGAAACAAGCGCTGATTCTTAACAGCAGTGGGGCGGCCATCAGTCAATTTGGCGTATCCACATGGAGGGCTTACGCAAAATGATGGTGTTACGAGCACAACCACTGACTTTCGAGCGAGAGCCAGTCCTTTTTGACAAAGTTTGTCGGCAAGTTGCGTCAATCTGCTTCCTTTCGCAATCTCAACTGACATCAAGATAGAGCGGATATTTGCGGCTCCCTACATGATTTTTCTCAACCGTACGTGTCTCTAGCTTTACATGAACACTGCCAAGTGTCGAAAAACCTTGTCTCCGGTTTCCAAGATGTCCATGAAGAGTATGAATTTGATGCAGAGCTTATCAATGTGCTTCTACAAGCGCAGAGAGTCGATGAGGATGTCAACATCATTCGACCTTTACCTTCAGAGACCTTTCCTATGCATCTTCGTGAGCGATTGCGATGTATACAATACAGCCTTCTCGGCCGCATGACCACTCGTTCCCAATCAAATGAGATGAGTCATTGTACTGCCGTCGCGATCGGTATTTTAATCTACGCAGGGATCATTCAAAATGAGTTCCAGCTCTCACCCGTAAGTTACCGTTTGAAAGAGCAGTTCGTGTCATGCATAAAGGGCGGAAGTTTTGCTACCAATTCAATGAGGGCATTGCGATTGTGGCTTCTTTTTCTTGCAGATTCCATAGTACATGATGCAAAAGAAAAAGCATGGTTGTCTCATTCTGTTGTGGAGATGGCGTTGAAACTGCATTTGTCGCATTGGGATGATGTCAAAAAGCTGTTGCGTTCATTTGTCTGGGCTGAGAATCAGCAAGACAAAAATGGTCGATTGCTTTGGGAAACCACATGCCAACAAGACACTGGAGTTTGGAGCAGAATCTCCATTTGAGTCAATTGCAAAGATTTTAAAATTATGATATGCGACATACCATAAGATGCTTTCAGATGGAGAATATTGAAATGATGTCGGTTGGTCGCTGGAAAAGGGTGTCTGGACGTCGCCAAGGGACCCAAACTCTGAGCGAAGCGCATGCAGCAGCAATTTTGCTCGTCGTTTTGTCCAGCACAAACCATATCAGCAAGATTTGAGCACTTTTAGTCCAGGTGTGGAAACGAAGAAGCGGCCTTGCGTGCGAAGACACTGGGGGCGGTAGAGTTATGTCTGCTCGAATACTAAGGAAGTGACGGGAACGGGTGCGGTTCATTGATGATTCAGAGAAATTCAGGCCGCTTCTTAACTTGCGCATTGTCGTCGTCCTTGGCTTCTCTTTCATTCACTTCCGCTTCCTCCTTTTTTTCTTCCTCCTTTCTCGCCTGTCTCCGCAAACGCTGTCTTTCGTTCCTCGTCATCATTTTCTCCTCTTTTTCGATCTCGCGAATTACTACAGGGGGCACATCCCAATCAGCTTGTCCTCTGTCACTGAATTTCACGTAGCACGAGATGTCTGATCCGTTTGCCATCGACGTACCATCGAACCATTCTTCCTCCATCTTCGGATCCCCCGTCCCAAGCAGTTTCTCTACATTCACATCCTCCCCTCTCTGTACACGATTTATTACTTCGCGAAGTAGTTCAATTTTTTGATCTGCCTGACGCGAATACAAGTTCATGTCTCGTTTGATGCGAATAATGTGTATAGCGGCGTTGCCTGTAAGCATAGCCAGAATAATTACGCCACTTGCAGGATTTGCGAGAAATCGTGACCAGAAGCCTTGGCTCTTGGGTTCTTTGGAGGCCATTCCAGCGTCACGGCGCATGAAGCGCGGTATCAATGACCTCCATAACGAAGGCTGTGCTATTCGAGGGACATGTTCAGCGATGGCGCTTGCGGTCGAGTGGGAAGCGTAGCGGCTGAATAGGAGAGGACGCAATTGTGGAGGAGCCCGGAGAATATATAACGGGACTCGAGTTGATGCCATCATCGATGCTTGTGGTTGAGGCGCAAAATGCTGCGCGACGTGGGATCTCTATATCTTTTTCTGAAACAGGAAATAGCAGAGCGCGCACAGGCCAGCCTCACCAGTTTGGCAGGGTCAACAAGGCTGAAGCCTCGGACAGGTGCACACTGGAGACATCGCAGGACTATTCGCACAAGTGAATTACGTTGACATGAGACACAATGGCGAATTCAGGATCAACTGCGTGGCTGCTCGTGGCATTCCGTCGCCAAATTCTGCTTGAGAACTACAGTAGAAACGAAGGCAACTGACGAAGACCGACCGTGCGGCTGTAAAGCTCTAGGTGGAATTAGAAATCAATTCAGGGGTATAGCGCTCCTCCCAAATGCTGAAGAAGTCGGACCAAAAATTCCACAGTTTCAGCCCAAAAATACAGGTATACCGTATACCACAAAGGCAGCGCCATTCAAGTAAGGCAGCTTACATCCATCCCGGCTCCTAGAGACGGCTTCGCACATACTCATAGGTCGACCTAATGCCTTCTTTTCTTCTCCGATTTTCTTCCGAGCCGGAAATACTTTCGCATCTAGTCCTTTGTTCGATTCATCCCACAAGCCCCAGTAGTCTGCCGCAGTGATGCTTAAATGGTCCGCATCTATATCACCAACGTCCCACAATGCACCCAAGACAGCCGGGCTTCCAGCACTCAGGTAGCTGAGGACCATTCCGTTCGGCTCAAATTCACCCAGGTCTTCAAGAGCCACAGAACTACAACCAATCAACCAAGAAACAGCGCAATTCATGTCTCTCCCGTCCAGTTCTTGATAGCCCAACCGTTTGACCACTCGAGGACGAACATATTGCGCCGTGCTCCCGTGGCCTACATATAGAAAGATATCATTCTCAGAAAGCATTTCTTGCCAACCTTCATCGCCAGGAGATTTCCGGAGATGAACCCAAGTAGGAGGTAATCTGTTCAACCATGGCTGGAAACGCTGTGCTGTTTTTGGTAGGTCGCCGGAGGGATTCAGCAGTGAAACACCCGAAGAGCGCCTGACAATCTTGCCTTGGAGCCTCTGGTCAGTGCCGACAAGTCTGGCTGCTATGATACGGTCGCGCAAGTCAGCAAGAGAGGGCAGCCGTGAGACGCTTTGGTTCCGGAGACAGGGCAGAGATTCCCAAGGAAAACCATGCAACTGCTTGTCGAGAACGAGAACAGTATGCTGATATGGGCTCTGCTCTTCAGAAATGGCAGCATAATAGTCTTTGAGAGCATCAATGACTTTAACAATGATTTCATCGATGTCCACCTCGTCTATCGCGATGCTTTCGCCGCTGAACTGCAGATTTTCGAGAATTAAGCGCACAAGATCATGAATGCCATTGCACATTGCAGTCGTCTCAGCTCTTACTTCCGTTGTTAGTCCATCCTCGCTAGCCAACTCAACAACATTGCTAGGGTTTCCAAGACCAACAAACAGCTCAAGAACATGGGTCTCAAGATTCCAAGATAGCGGTGGTGATGTGCCTTTGCCTTTTCCCTTTTTAGCAGGGCATTGTTGACGGAGGAGATTTTGCAGCTGGGCTTGGAAATTTGATAACGCTTCAGGATCACAGCGCTGAGATGAGAAAGCACCTTTGACAGCTGAAAACCATCGATCCTCAACGTCTTGCAAGAGTACGCGGAGATCAGCATCTAACTCGTGTTTTTTCTGCCACCAATTACGTTTGAACTCAGCTCTATCGGCAATCTCTGCATCAATGGGAGTGAATTCATGCTGCTTGATGATAGTACGGAGACGTTCATAAGCTGTACTCATGTCGAGCACTTCTTCGTCGGGATCTTCGCACTCTTGATGGGCAAAGGGTATTCGTAGAGTGATCGGAGGCAGTCTTGATCGATATCTGACCAGCTTCATGGCACTATTTTGGTCTGTGAGAGACATAGAAACAACATTCCAATTGCTAGGAATGATGTCAATAAACTCCTTCTGAAATGCATCCTTGTCTAAAGTTTCATGTACTTGGCCATTAATTTCGGCCTCGATTCTTGGCCAAGTCGAGAGGTCTGTTTTGGAGATCTTTTCAACATGGGGATGCTCGATTGTTTGATTTACTCGCTGCATATGGATACCCGGAGCCTCGTTGTAGAGAGCATTTATCAATGGATGTGTCCACTCCATGGACCTTTGAGGCGTACAGACCGAAGCAGTGAGTGAGACTCGAGATACTAGTTCGCTATGCTCCCGCGTATTGGCCACGGATGATTTTGACCAGCTTCTTATCCAAGCACCTTGCAAAGTTTGGTAGGCGTCGTGCAAAAAGGTGATAAATGGGGGCTTTGCCGGTTCGACCCCTACATCTATGGTCTTCACTGACTTCGTTTCTTTCGTTCTGCGAGTCCCTTTTGACCGCACAACTGCTTGCTTTTGCTGTGTAGTGCAGTTGCTAAACCTCTGTGCGGCAGGAGTAATAACAATGGATTCATGCACGGCGTTGAAAGTAATATCCGCAGACATCTGTTCGAAAGCTTGGTGAAGAAGTAAATATGCAGATGCGATGCTATGGGATAGAGTCGCATTGTTGCTGTGCACCTTTGTCCTAGCAATTTCCAAAGACTTGGACAATGCTACTATGTCAGGCTCTACATGGTAATCCAATGATGCCAGTGCAGAGCTCTGCAAAAGTTCAGCTTGCCATTCTTCCAAGGGCACACAGCTGCTGTGATCAGGACGTGTAGCCTGTCTCGTGGATGTCAAGTTACTCCTTGCGTTCGAGGACTTCTTTACTGGCTTAGCGATTTCCGTCTTAGCTTTCCTTGTTCTTGCAGTATTCGGCTGCTTTTCAAGCTGGAGTGATGCCATCTGCTCTACTAGAGTAATATCGTCCTTTGTTTGTGACTCAAGCATCATTGGAATGGAATGATGTTTTTGTGCTGCCAGGAGTGACTTCAGCTGCTCCATTGTACTTTGCAACTGTAGCTGCTGGTCTTCTGGCTCTTCTTCCAGATACAATAGCCTGGCTTTGACAACACCAAATGCTAATAGATCCGTAGCATTGGTTGTACTTAGAAGACTCTCATCAACCATTTCGATACGTGTCCGCGCTTCATGAATCTTGTCTTTGCGTGCCGATAAGCTATTCAGAGGCAAGCTCCTTGAGTACAAATTTGCGGCTGCTATATCGCACAGGGCGGCTACTCCTGCACCAACGTAATTTGAAATCTTGTTTGCGTGTTTGAGCGCGGCAAAAGCCTCGTGGTAGGCACCGCGGAAGGAATGTATCTTCAATTCCAACATTGCGATGTCTACCAAGTCCGGTACTAATTCTCGAAGATGAACAGTGGCGAGGCGGGAGTATGAGCGCGTAACGATAGTCGGTTGACTATCACCCATGGCTGAAGCGTCATCGCTGCTCAAGCACGCGTCTGGCGCAGTGGAGCTCGTCAGATGACGAGGCATGATCTGTTCCAGCGAGCTCCAGAGCTTGAAGAGCATGCACTTGGCAATCATACAAAAGCGCAAGGCGGAAGCCAGTTGTCCAGTCTCCAGTTCAAGCATTCCGCTGGTATATGCAGCTCGGGCTACCAATCGTCTCTCTTTGACATTGAGATTCGAAGACGGGTGTGCGAATGTTCTGCTCATGAAGCTCTCTTCGTCGCCCTGAACTGAATGTTCCATTGCCTTCTGTATGGCTTGCCTGCAAGCATCGTGTTCATGAGCGACGACATAACATTCGGCGTCAGTTAAATGCCAACGAATGTGTGTAGTCGAGGAGACTTGGGCGTTACATAGATCTAAATGGGCCACTTCAAGAACGTGGCGTGCCTTTCCGGTATATCCCAGTGCTATATATGCTCGAGCTAGCCGGCACAGCATCTCGCAGCGTAATTCCTGGCTCCCTGGCATCAACGCGAGGATACGAAGCAAAATCTCGATGCATCGTGCTTCCATACGAAAGTCCCTTCGCAGGGCATAAAGATCTGCAATGGCGTTGACGTGTTGGCACCATGCGTCGACGTCCCCAATGCATCCATATGCGGCGTCGAGACCTTCAATCTCACTGGTTAGCGAATCGAAAGCCTCTACTGAGCCCTGCAAGATCCCCATGGCCTCGTCTGCGTATGGATTCAACAGAGCAACAGCAGCTTGCAGTGTAGCTTTGAGACATGAATAGTGATTCGTGAGCTGACAGTCAGAGGCAAATTTCCTAGGTAATGTCTGAGCTACGCAGCGAGATAGAAGATCGTTCGGATCGCAAAGGTCTTGTACAACTGAGTACAGGCGTGCTGCAACAATCGCGACTCGCGCTCTTTTAACAGGGAATATCTGCTGATCATAGATCTTCAGTAGATGCTCAAATGTGAACCGCACAAGCCGTCCGTAGTTTGAACTTAGGGATCGTTGATGCGTTGCGTAGTTCGCAAAGTGCTCCAACTGCCATTCTAATAGCAAACCACGAGATTCTGCGGCCAAGTTGAGCTGTGAATGACTAATTTCGGTCTCATCCAAGTCCAATTTCGTTGCTATTGCAATAAATGAACGTATACATCGGAATACTAAAGTGCCATATGGAACCTGGTTTCGCAGCTGAGCAGGAGATTCGCGAGTAGCAGATTTGACCAATTCTTCTAAAATACCGGAGCTGTCGCATTCGCGCACGAATCTTTGAAAAACATGAAAGGCATCGTTCAAATCTCCGCGTGACAGATGAGCTTCGATGAGATATCGGAGTTCCTGAAAGTAGCTGCCCGCTTCCTTTTCTTCTCTCGTCCATCGCTCCAGGGATTTGATGCTTGTCTTGAGAGCGATTATGGCAATATCATCACACGATCCGTGAGCTGCTGTGCGCTGATTCCATATTCGATGGCAGAGCTTGGAGATGGTGACAAAAATTGAGCTCTCGCGCCTCAATTCGCTGTTGAGACGCTCCTCGGCAAAAGAGGCATCTGTTGCGCAAATATCTGAGAAAAAGTTACAGCAGTCATCCAAAATGGAGAAGACCTCCAATCCAGGAGTATTACACTGCAAACAGCATAATATGATCGTGTTGATGAACGACTTGATGAACTTTTTTCCGACCCGATTCCTTTCCTTTGTTTCCGCATCCGGCTCGACGTCGTTAGTTGAGCATCCCAGGTAATTCCGAAGAAACACTAGACAACAGGCGGCCACATGGAGGCCCATATGTCCGGATACATTCTTGTCTGTCACGGCCTTGTGAATTGCTCTGCGTAGACTAACCACCTCGATCAACAAACGATCAGCTGAGGTCTTTTCAGTAGGCAAGGTCTGCTGTAAAGCATTGGCAGCTTGCTCTAACAGCTTGTCTCGATCATCGGAGTTTAATGCATTCACGGCGAGCCGAATTGCATTAATCGCTGAAATCTCTGATCCAGGCATCGCGCCAGATTGCTTCACTGACTGAGCAGTATTAGTCGCGAGGACTTCTATTTGGCTGAGAGCATGGCAAACAGCTGCAAGCTCCGACTCGCATGCAGGATACTCTTGTAGGGTGCTGATAAGTGGCATAACCTTTGTATTGGCCAATGTATGCTTTGTCTTCGGGGCGCAATCCGAGCTCCTGCGGAATGATTCTAGGCATCGACCAAGTTTCGCAGCAACGTCCGTCGCCTCGTCATCAGATATGCCGCCAACAAGTCTTGAAGCTTGCAGTTGCAGTGTAAACGCTGAACAACGCAAGACAAGCGTGTGCATTGAGGACAACCCAGAGACAGTCGATAGCTGTAACAGTAGCCGAGACATTATGGAGAGCTGACGACTCCCCTTGGTTTCATTACCAGGTAGCATAGCCCATTTTCGCAGTAGACCGAAACACCCTTCATTTGATGTATTGTCAAGAACGGCTTCCAGAGTGGTAGAAATGATGGAAACATCAGTTACCAGATTAAGGATCTGCCACGCATGCTGCTGCAATTTGACGGCGAATGCGATTAGAGTCATGTCCTCGAATTTGACATCGAGATTAATGAGCTCAACGTAGTCAATGGCATTGTGGTTCATGACCTGCTTCTCCTGAGATCTGCCGCTCGAACGCTCTGTAAGTCGATCCTTTAGAGCACGTAGCTGATCCAGTGCCATGTCTGCTAATTCTAGATCAACACACTTTCCGACGACTGCAAGAATGCCGTTTTCGACCTGATACGTGGAATCTTTGCCATCTCGGACAGTGTAGTGCGCTCGTAAAAATGACAAAGCGGTGCACGCACATGCAGCGATGATCCACGCTGGCGATGCTGTCTTCTTGGGCTTGCAAACTTCATCTCTGGCCCTGAGCTGCCTTGGATTCGGCGATTTTGTCCTAAGTGCGGTATCCGGTGGGTTTCCTTTGGCGACTCCTTTCGATTTCGCCGAGTTTTCCTTCGTTTGCGCTGCTCTTTTTGCTAGTACATGCTCCTTAGCAAGCCTTGACAAGGCCTTGATACAGGCATTTACAACGTGAAATGCCAAATTAACCTTCTCTTGTGGATTTAACCCTACTTCTTGCTTGATTTCAACAACAGTGAGTTGTCGATTGTGCCCCTTCGTTCCCCGTGATGCTGCAGTTACCTTCGTTGTCGCAAGTACTGACTTTGCTCTCGTATGTCCTCGCTGAGCTTTGACATCCTCTTTTATATGCTGTCCGTAATGTTCTAATTTGTCAATTGAAAGTAGGGATTTGATGCTGAGAATTATATCATTCGTGCAAGAGGTCGGATCGTCGAGGGATTGGAGGATGCTCCGATCCACGGGCACCAATTGTGCCATCAACTCCCGCAATGGTATATTTCTGTATTAGTGTATGATCCAACATGTAGCTTTATCGTTTCGCATGGTTCTATCGACAGTTTACGAGCTGCTTTGTTCTATCATCGTTTGTGTTCCGCGTTGTTTACATTTTGTGCCTGAGGCATCGATGAGACTAACCCAGCAAAACATGCTTCGACTTCTGTTTGGCTGATCAAGGCATATAACATTATAAGAAACCCCCAAACTTAACTCAGCATGCGCCTTTACAATGTGCCCTCTTTGTAGCATTGAATTTATACATGGATGTCTTGATCTCTTTGATACGATTTTCGTGGCTCACCCTGCAGGCTGCGCTGATGAGTTTCTCGATCTCGAACTTGCCAATCGTTGATCAAAAGCCTCACAACTTGGGTCGTCATGTCGGAGCCATGTGTGTACACTCCATTGCCCTCCTCCCAGAGTACGAGAATACTTCATTTTTATCCTGGTAAGGTCTTCAGCCCTCCTTTGAAGTGCACACTGGAAGATCTTTCGTTCAACAAAAGCATCAACGTCCGCCAAGGCTACGACGCCCTGTCCTACGTGCGGGGCCGACAAAACGGGGAGCCTTCCATTGATATGTGATGACAAGGTGATTATGATCACACCAAATTGTGATTTGACTATGGGAAATTTACGACGTACTAAACACCCAGTCTCTCTCTGGGTGGATGCTATTTGCATCAATCAGCAGGATCTCGTGGAGAGATCACAACAGGTCACTCTTATGGGTGCTATTCATCAGCAGGCGAAGTGTGTCATAATCTGGCTTGGTGAGGGATCAAAAAACATCACGCGTTTCTTTGCTCGTCTCAAATATTGGCGGGTTGTACTTTGATCAGCGCGCTTAACTAAAAAGATCAAGCGCAATCGAGGATTGAGTCGTGTTCTTTTGAACCTTGGTAATGGCATACTTCGTGTCTTTAAAATTGTTTAAGCTAACTCCACCAGCTGGAAACATGACATCCGAGGAATACGCACGCGTAATGGGGAATAGCTGGGCGACTCGGCTTTGGACGGTCCAAGAGCATGTGTTAGCAACTAAGGTCAAAGTAGTGTGTGGTCATGCCACTGCAGAATTGAAGGGATTCTCTATATTTTGCATTGACGGGCTAAGGCCTTTGCAGTTGATTAACGTCGTTGAAATTTACGAATGTCGCGAGTGGCATCAGCGATGGAATGCTCGTGATGTACTGCTTGACATACGCCAAACTTATCTCAAGGACAGATGCTCTTTTAACTTTGAGCAGGACATTGAATCCAAGGTTGAAATTCTGCTATACGCTCCTGTCACTAGCCAGCTGAACAATGCTTCTGATCCAAAGGACAAGTTGTTTGCAATGTACGGCCTCCTGGAAGGTATTGTGTCTAGTCTTCCTCGCGTCAACTATCTTGAGAGCAAAGAGAAGATCTATGAGGACTTCACCAGAAATACCATCACGTCGTTTGGACATTTCTGGCCATCGCTCCTAGATGTTGGCATGATGAATCTTCAATCGTCCTTGTCGTCTTGGGTGTCTGATCCGAGCTACCGACAGGAGAGCGAATACGAGGCCATGGATGCGATTTTGTACCATTTTCGAAGCTCACAAATCCGACCATTACCCATAGACCCAAATTTATGTTCGATTCAAGATTCAAAGCCTGGAGTGGTGAGTGTCCGCGGCTGCACACTTGGCATCATCAATAAGATTGGGCAGAAATGGCCTGGACACAATGAATCTATTATTCTCGATCTACAATGTCTCCAATCGTGGCAAGACTTTTTCCATTTAAACACAAGATTACCCAATCCAAATGCAAATGGCGAGCACAAATCAACGTCGTTTCTAAAGTTGATATCCTTTGGACGACCTTCCACGGAACTAGAATCGTGGGAGTTGCAGGCTCCGAAAATGATGGATTGGTTTCAAGATCTGAACCTCTTGTCCGGCGCGTGTAACTTCAAAGAGGTAGAAGAGGAAATCATAACGGACGAGCGCAAGAGAAACTTCTTCAACATGCCAAACTTAGCGAGATCAGTCATATTCTCTGTTTCGGACGGCAAGATTGGAACTACACGAGCTGAAATTGCTATAGGAGACTCTGTTGTTCTTCTAGCAAGCAGTATACTACCCGTGTTGTTTCGCCCACAAGGAGAGCACTGGAGATACGTCGGCCCTGCTTACATCGACGGCGCGATGGATTGGAGGACGTGGATTTGCAACATCGATTCGAGACAATTAGAAATATTCTCGCCCATTTAATTCTGCGACTGCCGGCATGATTTGCTTGTTGGGCAGTTCGGTCTGAAGCATAGGAGCCCTGATATATTCGACGCAGGGTACGACGTTTGCGACAGGACTCTCACATTTTGGCATTTTTCCACAGGCCATTGAATGAACGGAAAGTATATCTCCATTGTCAGCTTGAAGGAGAGATGATAGAACAATACCTCTCTTTGACCTGCACAGGTCGACCATGTACTTTGCGACAACTCTCCCTCGGCACTCTCGATTTCGACTCTCTTTAAGCAGCAGGGAGGGAGTTGAATCATCCACGGGGCGGCATGATCGGGGAAAACCTGAACCGAATCGCAGCCGCGGTCGCTGAGCAAGACTCGCCGCGGCCGCCGCGAGACGTCGCGGTGGTGTCTAACTTCTCGGAAGATCGGGTTGGACATGCCCGTTCCAGACCGCAATCTATGGCCACGTCTTCAGAAACGTCGTGTCCACCTTCAACATGTCCTGTCACATTGACCTGACGCTCTTCGCGCAGCACGCCCGCAACTGCGAGTACATTCCAAAACGGTTCGCGGCCGCCGGCGTGCGCATCCGCGAGCCCAAGACGACGCGCCTCATCGTCTCCAACGGCAACTGCGTCGTGATGGGCGCAAAGTCCGTCGACGACTCCAGACTCGCGGCCCGCAAGCACGTACGCATCGTGAAAAAGGTTGGGTATACTCCACGGTTCGACGGCTTCCAGGTGTGCAACATTTGTCGCCAGTGCGGGCGGCGCTGTCGCAAGTCCCCCGCGCAGAATGGGGACAGGAAGCATGGCATCGTTCGGCAGAAGGATTTTGTACCACTCGATGGCTTCACCCTGCGCTACATTCGCTTCGCGAGCTACTATCCTGAGACGTTTGCTGGATGCGTATACAAGATGATGCGGCCGAACTTACGTCTGCTCATCTTTCCGAACGGCAAGATCGTGTTCACCGGCGCCAACTGACTTGTGGATCTGGATGTTGCGTACAGACTGATTTTCCCGGCACTCCTGGGTAAGATGCTTGCCTTTTTTTTATTGCGACGGTTTATCCTCACAAGCAGTAGAGGGCGATGTCCAACCACAGAATTTAAGATGCGGATCAGGAATGAATAGCGTCACACGGTCAGGCTGAGGAACTAGACTTGGATCAAGCTGGTTTCATATTCTCATTTGATTGGCAGTTTGCGACCTGGAACGCCGATGCTATGCGATGTATATATGATTCCCCCCCTTTTTTTCCACCTCGCTCCTGTTATATCATACCCTGAAGCCGCGAGGGAAAAAGATCAGTCCTTGAAACGGCGTTCAAGGTAGGCAGCAACAACATAGCTACAAAAAGATTCTCGTTTCCTTCATACCTTGAAGTCATCCCACCAACGGCTCTTATCTTTGAGCATACCGTCCGCTGTGAACTCCACGCCCTCGCTCTTCAGCAGCTGCAGCTTCTTCTCGCAGTTCTGGCCAGAAGGTGCCTTCTGCCAGTCGCCCTGGAATCCACCAATGTACTACGGTAAGGCCAATACCGTTAGCACAGTCAAGTCAAATTAAAGCTGCGTTTGTTGCACAATCAACACATACCCCAGAAGCAGCAATACATCGGTGGCATGGCACTTCCGGCGCGAAAGGATTGTTCCTGTTCGCACCGCCGACAGCCCGTGGCGAAGACTTGAGGGCCCTGGCCATAGCCGCATAGGAAGTGACTTTGCCTTCAGGGATCTGCTTAAGCAGAGCGTAGACACGCTCCTGAAAGGGCGTGACTTTTTTCGTGCGTGTTGGTGGCATTGTATACGTCCTTTAGCGTGTTGCGTAGTCTAGATAAACAGGAAATTGACCGTGCAGTCGAACAGGAGAAAATCTCTAGACATAGAAAACGGAAGAAACACGGCGGGTTTAAGACAAGCGTGTCCTGAGTCAACGCGAGAGACGAAGCGTGTTCACGTGACATGACTAACAGGAATGATAAGGCTGTGATTGGCTACATTGGCAGCAACTGTGGTCCAGTGACGTTCGTATTGTCAAGCGCATCCTCGATGACACTTTTCTCTTTTTTGTCTTCGCGACGATACCATTGTAATCTCACGCATTGTGCCAATATGGATGGTCGTTTCCCTTGTTCGAAATCTCAAACAGTGCGTTGATGGGTTTCCTTGCAAACAAGGTTAACCTTGGGCTATGTAGGTGAACCAACCACGCTGCGCGACCTTGAAAAGGGTCGCGAAAGGTCCTGTTCGAGTGAAAAGCAATGGATTGGTTGGACGACTGGTCTCAGGGTATTCCTAAATCACTGACGCACAGGGGGTAGTATGAGGGGTAGAGGATACCTCTTTGTAAATTTTCTTTGGACGCCTCCCAGCGAGCTATGACGATGACGATTGCTAGCTGCGCACTCAGCACTTGAGGCCGTCCCCCCTTCAGCGAACCACAGGCCATGTTTCCAAGCTCTATGAGAAGGTCAAAGTTGTGATCTCCGGGCTGATCTCGCGCAGAAGTGAGAGCCAGATCACGGACGTTTGATTCTGCCTCTGATTTCTCGTGTGAGCATTAAACGTTCTGGAAGGACTCTAGAAGAGGACGAGAAGCCTTTTCTAGAAGCGGGAGGGCACAGAACGTTGGCTGGGTCTTCGATTGGCGCCAGATGCGGGGAGGGGTTTAGCCACTTATCGGTCGCCCATTTTTCTCTGACAAAGACAGCTCACAGTCCCAGAGAATGAACGTGGTGCACTAGACGTACTTAATCTTGCCTCGTTCTAAGCTCTGCGTTGGGGACCAGTGCCGTCGCCGGTTGGACGAAATGTACGCGTGCCTTTGCTCATGCCTAAAGCTTCTGAGGCTGGCTGTGCACTGTCGCCGCTCTGTCGTGGAGAGCATATCTTCTCTTTCTCCTTTGTCTTGTTTTTCTCCATCTCCCTCATTGCCTTGGAAATATGCTGCAATGATGCAGCATGCTCGAACCACATGAGGGCCAGGCAGACACGAGCCGTGGGCTCGCTGTGCAACAACGGACGTCATCTGGACGTTGCGACGAAGGCTGACGGTGTGCTGGAGCCTTAAGGACGATTGGGCCTAGCTTGTGATCTACACGAGAGGAAGAGCAGCACAGCGAGCGGTAAGGTCCGTGGGACGGGTGCAGAGTGGCCGTTCTGTGTGTGGTGCTGGCTGTGGTACATCATCAAGCACTACACGCTGAGTACCCCACACTGGCCTGCTTGGTCCAAGCTTTAAAGCTCGCCCTCACCCCTCTCGCGCCTCTGAAATGACTTCTTCGACTGACCAACTTCCCAATCGTTCGCATCGTTCCTACGCATCCTGATCCAGCATAATCTTCGAGCAGATCCCTCACATCATCTCCAATTCTGCGCACACTTCTTCCTTTGCCGATTCGCCACTGAGCGATCCTTGACCCTGCGCACTAAGACCTTATCCACGCACCTTCCCTCTAGTCCACTCCCCCCTCCCTCCGGCGGGATCAGGAAAGCGCAGGATCGCCTCATTGCTGCTTCCCCTTGTGCTCCGACTACACATCCTGCATCACCACCACCATCCGCTCCGGCTCACATTCTCACTCTCATTCTCATTCTCAACCCAAACTCCACTCTCGTCTGTCGAATTGTCTCCGGAATTTGTCTTCATCTCCTCTGCGACCGCCGCACCTACCCACCCTCATAAGCACAACCCGCCCACTCCTACCGCCACAATGGCAAGTACATTCCCAGGCACCACTTCGCCGTTCCAACCTTCATCAACTGTAATGCACGCGGTGCAGGAGGAGGACGAAAACGATCCTGTCGGTTCTCCCACCTCCTCCCATTTCTCTCGAACTGCCATGTCCTCCAGCAGCCAGCCACCAGCCGCCTCGTCGAGCACTTTTGGCAATTTTGGCGGCTTCGGCGAGTCCATCGAGTCCGGCGAGCCCAAGAACCTCCCCAACAATTACAACCTGAACCGACGCACCTCTGTGTCCGCCGAGTCGCTCGCGCCCGCCGCTAGTGACGAGAATTGGAAGCCGCCACAGCACGAAAAGTCAAGCGAGCAGAGAGAGCGCTTGTATAAAGCCGTCAAGTCCAACTTTTTGTTCTCCCACCTAGACGATGACCAGGCCGCGCTAGTGCTGGGCGCCTTGCAGGAGAAACCCATTCCTGCCAAAGGCATCAAGGTCATTCAACAAGGAGATACGGGCGATTTCTTCTACATCGTCGAAAAGGGTAATTTCGATATTTTTGTCAACAAGTCTGGGCGTCTTGAGCCTGGACCTGACGGCATGGGCGAGAAGGTTGCCTCGTGTGGTCCGGGAAATTCGTTTGGCGAGCTTGCGCTCATGTACAACGCCCCTCGCGCGGCAACCGTGATCAGTACGGAACCTGGTATGCTCTGGGCACTGGATCGTGTCACCTTCCGTCGTATCCTTATGGACTCCGCATTCCAGCGTCGCAGGATGTACGAGTCCTTCTTGGAGGAGGTACCCCTCCTCGCTAGCCTGAAACCCTATGAGCGAAGCAAGATTGCCGATGCGCTTGAGACGCAGAAGTACGCTGCTGGTGAGACGATCATCAGAGAAGGCGACCCGGGCGAATCCTTCTTTATCCTGGAGTCCGGCGAAGCCGACGTCTTTAAGAAGTCCGAGGGCAACACCGTTCTCAAAACATATAAGAAGGGCGATTATTTCGGCGAGTTGGCGCTACTGAACGACGCACCACGAGCCGCCACCGTAGTCGCGAAAACTGAGGTGAAAGTTGCGACCCTGGGCAAGGATGGATTCCAGCGATTGCTTGGTCCTGTTGAGAGCATTATGCGGAGAAATGATCCAAGCAGGCAGCAAATTGAAGAGGTTGACCCACTGTCCAAGTCATGAGCGCTGCATTTTATTAATTCAATGCTAAACCTTTCTTGCCAGAGAGTCTTCGACGCAGTGGAGACAATGGCAATGCATTGAAGATGAGACTACGGCCTCACTAGGAGAAACGAAATTGGGTGTGAATATGAGGGAGGCCCACGAACAGATATAAAATACCCGACACCAGAATTACTACGAGTAGTATGACGACTTTGCTTCCCGGTGCATGCGAACGAACGAATGAATATTACAAGAAGAAAAAAAATTATTGATCCAAAGAAGCTACCTATGTATGACGACGGGGATTCGAGTTCGTTCATCTTTTTCTTCTCCTGTACGACCGCATAGACTCTAACCTCTTTTTTTTCGGGTGTCCGTAAGGGAGGAGCTGCCTCATCTAGGCTTCGGGGGATTTTTGATCCCGCCCCAGTTGCGAAACGTTCTTGCTTTATACATGGAGTTGTACGTACGTAGCCTGAACAAATGCGCATTGCAATTCGCGTATTGCCATCTTTCGATATTTTTGCAGCCATGTCCACATGCTTGATTCTATGCCACGTCAAGCGAAGAGCATCACATCCTAGATTTCCTTCGGGGATTCGTAATGGCAACGATGACGCTCTGGGCTGTCGTGCACCGCGAAAAGACGGTGGGTTCCTGCGTCGTGCGTAGGAATGCTTTGCCATGTTGGGCGCAATTACCCCTCCATAGGATTGCCCCACAGCATTAGCTTACGACTAGCCATGAACGTCATTTTTAAATGGACGCAGCTTCGCCCAAACGGTGAAACACCAAACAAATTCCCATAACCCGACAGCCCACTCCCAGCACACATTTTCCAAAGCGCAGGGCTGCGGCGTAGAGATCATTGCTCCTTCGTTCTCTTCATCGGCCACACACTCGATCAGTCCACAAGCACGACTCATCAAACATGTCGTTCGAAACGACGGCGACGATCGCCAACTTCGGCGGGCAGCTTCTCAAACTCAAGCATCCCGCGAAGACGACGAATTGCGACATGGCGTTGAACCTGTTCTTCCCGCCGCAGGCTTCCAAGGGCCCCGTCCCCGTGCTCTTCTATCTCTCGGGCCTGACCTGCACCGGCGACAACTGCTCCGAGAAGGGCGGGTTCCAGGCCCACGCGGCGAAAAAGGGCATCGCCATCGTGTATCCGGACACGTCTCCCCGCGGCCTCAAGATCGCGGGCGAGGACGACAGCTACGACTTCGGCACCGGGGCGGGCTTCTACGTCGACGCGACCAAGGAGCCGTGGAGTGGCGGCTACAAGATGTACTCATACATTACGGACGAGCTGCCCAAGGCGCTGTTCGCTCAGTTCGGTGACAAGCTGGACGGCAGCCGCGTCAGCATCACGGGCCACTCCATGGGCGGCCACGGCGCCCTGACGTTGTTCCTGAAGAACCCAGGCATGTACAAGAGCGTGTCGGCGTTTGCGCCCATCTGCAACCCGTCCAAGTGCCCCTGGGGCGAGAAGGCGTTCAAGGGCTACTTTGGCGAGGATAACAAGGCCAAGTGGGCCGAACACGACGCGACAGAGCTGGTGGCCAAGTACTCCGGCGACAAGCTAGACATCCTGATCGACGTGGGCACGGGCGACAACTTTTACAAGCAAGGTCAGCTGCTGCCGGAGAACTTTGAAGCGGCCGCCAAGAAGGCGGGCCAGAACGTCACGATCAGATATCAGCCAGACTATGATCACAGCTACTACTTCATCTCGTCATTTGCCGAGGACCACATCGAGCACGCGGCGAAGTATCTGCTGAAATAGTAAGTCGCTTTTGTCCGCACCTTCCGCAGGCTTCAAGCCCCTTCCTTTGGCGGACGGGAAAGAGATGTGGAACTAATCGATCTAGAAGCAGAGACGGCAAGCTGTGAGTAATGCTATGCTGTGCAGACAACTTCTTGTGCATATTTGAGACTAGGGACATGAATAGCGTGGCAAGCAATTTGTCCAACGGAAGAGTAAAATCAACTGTAGATCCCAAGCTCCTCGTCTTTTGCTGTGCCATTCTCTTTGAAAGATGCATGTGCTCAGTGAACTCTTGATTCAACTGGGGACTGTCATGTTGCTCAACTTTCAGCGTTAGAAAATCCGTGTTTGTTTGAATCTTCTGCTGTTTAAAAACGCTAATACATTGTTGGCCGACAAGTGGAAACCGCAGAACGAGGCTGCACGTATTCGCCCGTTGTGTCCTACATGCAACGGCTACGTAGCTTAATGCTGTAGTCTCTCCTTGTTTTAGGTAGCGAACTCTTGTCAATGACGTGCTTCCCTAACTCTCCGTTAATGATATTCCTGGCCGGACAGCCCAAAAACGCCGATGCTAAGCTCATGAGGAGATTGCACTTGTTTCGCCATTTTTCTTTTATAAAAGCTCCTCGCACGTCCAGTCCTCGTACCTGTATGTATATTAGCCTTGCTTCAACGCCAAGTAGGCAGAGTTCGGACAGTACCATCCGTCAGGCAAGTAGCGCCTGATCACAAGAGGAATCTTCTTCTCTCTGAGCTCTTTCAATGCGATGGCTAGCGGATCTGTCTCGCCCTCGAGATCAACAAGCACCGGTGCATTCATGCTGTTTGATTTGTCAGCGCCCGTACTCCCACGCAAGACGACAATCCGAAGCTCGTGGAGCCGTACCTGATCTGCAGCGCTCTAGTTCCCAACACCCTCGCCCTCTCGTACTTAGTCATGTACGGTGTCGTCTTTCGCTCCTCTCTCGGGATCATCTTTTCTTTCTCGCTCGCTACCGTATTTTTACTTTTCTTCTTGGCTTCTTCCGCCGCCCGTGCCGCCGCCGCTGCATCGCCGCTCGCTATGATGTTCTCTGCGTCGCGAGTCTCTTCATCGGCGCCTCCGCCGACGTCTTCTACCTCATCAGGCTCATCGTAGTCGGGCTCCTCGGGCTCATCGTACGTTGGCTCACTATGGGAGATCATGCCATGTTAGTCGACCACACGAGCAGATCAACGGTTCTGAGGAGAGAGCATTACTCGTAGTCATCGCCTGGGCCGCCGCCGTACTCATCGTCAGACATTTCGAAGTGATGAGAGAAGTTCTAATGGTAGGGTGACAAAGCGTGAACGAGATGCGTGCTGCGACGACGACGTGAATCGACGCGCTCGCATACAGGAAAAAGTCGAAAAGGCGGCCGCGGCTGCGCACGGGGTAAGGGAAAGACCCACTTAGAAAACGGCAAGGGCTGGTCGAAATCTTGGCGCCGCTTTTCTAGACTGCACCCCAAACTTTTTTTTTTAGTGTTCGCCCTATTTTTCCTCGAACGCAGTCGTCATACGACAGCACAACTGAGGCTCCTCGTCTCCCTTAATTCTTGTGTAATTGGTCACTAGCATTCTCTAGTTCTCACGGATCTTTCCAGCTATGTTGGTAAGATGGATAATACGGCTTTCAGGACGTCGAAAAGGAGCCGTGATGTTGAGCCACAAGTCAATGATGACGTTGCGGCAAAGAGATTAAAGAACGGTACGTGAAAGATTGGCAGATTGGAATCCTAAGCAGTCTTGTGGCTATGCTTTGTGGATCTCTCAATGGCCACCTTCCCGCCGTCAGAATCAAGCCTTCACGTAACCGGTGGAGAGCCTTCCGAACAAGCGCTAACGAGACACATCAGAACACAGTGACGGAAATGACCGCCATGTAGATCAGAGAGAAGATACGGTTTCTACAATTTACGAAACCGTTGATCTGGGGCTTCCGACTATGGGTGTCCGACGAAACCAAGGAGTCTGCCAGACGTCTTTGGGTCGACTGGTACCAAGACATCCACGCTCAGGGACCAAGATGGCCGAGTATAGAATGGAAGAATCTGTTGCAACGTCTGACATTGACCTCGGCCGTGGGAATGCCGTGTCGGAGAACAGGAGACTTGAACTTGAACTGGGAGAAGAAGAAGAAGACGACACGGATGCAGCATCTCAGCCACTCACACATGCTGCCACCCCGGAACTTTCCACAGCATCATCTTCTCGGGGCAACAGCTCTGCGCCTGAAGCTCAAACTCCTGTCACGGCTGAAGATTCAGACTGTTTACATAGCAAGAAAAAGCCAGCGTTCACATTGCATAGCGAGGCCTTATATCGAGCCCTCCAATCCAAACATCTTTCGGAAAACTTCATGGAGAAGTTCTGCGAACAGCACCCTGAGATATCCAATACACTAAAGTTGGGAAGCGTCGACAGCAATAATGAGAAACTATCTTCCCAGTCTGCCTTCAGAATCGCCTCAGCTCCGTCGAGTGCTCGAAAGTCAAAGCCGGAAGCCAGTACGCCGCCATTTGAATGCCCCAGTTCGTGTTCTGGCAAATTCAACGATGTTTCCTCGTTCAGGCAACATCTTGAAATGCAGCATGCAAGCCAGTACAAAGTTTGCAAGCACAGTGATTGCTCCAAGTTCGTCGCTAACAACGAGGATATCGGGACCAGTATGTTGCTCGGGTGGCACTATCGCAAAGACCATGGGCAGCATGCGCTACAATGTATGGAGCACCCCAATTGCAACTATAAGCCCACACTAGACGAGAAAGCCTTTGTGGAGCATGTCAAGTCACACAGGCTGCGATGTAACCTGTGTCTTGACGAGAAGAAGCGTGCACTCCCATTCGGCACGGTCGACGCGCTCAAGCTCCACATCAAGAACACGCACGGAGAAGGAACATTTCAATGTCAGGGATACGACTTCGTGACCGGGAAGCGGTGTACCCGCCGCTTCCCAACCGAAGGCGGGCGGACGAAGCACATGGGCTGCGCACACAAGGGTCAGTTCCTGTGCCCACACTGCATGGACGACGGCGGGAAGGTGCAGATGTTCGAGACGGAGAAGACGCTGGCGCTTCACGTCCGCGACGCACACGCGGCCGCGTTCGACGACGACTGGGCGGCCAAGGCGGGCGTAAAGCGGTTCGCGTGTCCGCAGTGCAAGAAGGTCCTTACAAAGAACGTCTACCTCCAGCGGCACCTCGCCACGCACACGGGCGAGACGCCCAAACCCTTCAGGTGCAATGCTACAGACGTCGGCGGGAGCCCGCGGATGACGGACGACGACGGGACCGCCCTAGCATGGGACCCCGCCGCGATGGGATGTGAGAGCCGGTTCGCGACCAAGCAGTCGCTGATCGACCACGTGCGGAGTGCTCACCTTGGTCTGATGAGGTGGGAGGCGTTCAGGAGAGCAAGGAGCGGCCAGGCGTGGCAGGACGCCGCGTCGAGGATGGACCGGAAGGATAAGAGGGCAAAGCCGTCGCCGACCGGCGTGCTCTCCGGATTCAAGGCCGAACCCGCCTCGTAGAGATATACGGTCCTCCCGACTTGCAAACAGGAAGCCCCAAATACTATCGAGATCCTTTGAAGAAAGGGAGGAAGCAGAGGACGCGAGGGCTATCACAACCTCCCATTCTCCAGTAGGTTAAGTCGTCGACTCTCGAGCCACGCGAGCGTTCTCCAAGCCCTGCAAAATTCCTGCCTTCCTTTTTTTCCCCTTACACATACACATATTCGTTTCCTCTCAGCGACGAACAAGCGCACGTTCTGATGGCCCTTTTGTTCGGGTTGGATGTTTTTTTTTTTTTTTTTTTTTTTTTTTTTTTTT